AACAGTAACAATTGTAATAATAAGCAACAACAGTAGTAGTATAACAATAGTGACAGCAACAGTGACAGTCGTAGCAGTGGCAATAGCAATGGTAAGTAGTAGTAATAATAGTAAGAGTAACAATAATTATTAATCAAAAGCAAAGGTCTTAATCACAACAAGAATACTTTCTGGAATGGAAAAGTTGATCTTGGCTTTTTCTGATGACTGTACGCAATGCTGAGATATTTTTATATGAGCCATTGAAATTATATCTTTTGACTTAATGGATTATATACTTCTTTTTGAGGTAATAATTTATTGGAAAGAGCCTTAAAAAAAGGACTTAATGAAAGTCATAGAGCATTCAAATGCCCTGCATGATAAAATACTGAAAGGCTCAGGGAACCAGAGGCTGCTGTAAGAACATGGACATCTGACACTCTAAATGTTACAGTTGGACCAGAATATTGAAAGAAGTGTACACTATTATATATAAAAAAATAAATCAAAGTTGTGATATCTTTCTCAGTGCTATTGTTGCAGAACACGTTTCTAAAGCATGTCTTGCCAAAATATGTCACTGAAGTTACCTTCAGGAGTGCCATATTTTGGTATGCTTTGAAATTATTTAAATGTCACAAATTAAACACACTTTATTTGGTTAATCCACTTTGATGTAACTTTTATTACAGATATGCACGCACATAAGTTATTAATGACATGTATTTTCTTGCTTTGGTAAACAAATTTCCTAAATTACTTAATAAAATATATTATAAATATAATATAAATATAAAATATAAATAAACGCAATTATGTATGTTTTCCTGAAGCTGAATTATGCAGGACATTCACAAATGTGTGTTAGTTGCTATATATGTGTCATTTATAAAATGTCAGTGAGCACTCATTCAGTTCAAGATCCAGAGAAAACAATTCCAGGCCTTGAGACACATGGTCCATTGCTGACTAGATTAAATTTTGTCCTCCACTAACACCAGTGACTGAGGTACATTCAGCTGAGGATGGGATGTAAGGGCACTGCAGCCACCCAAAAGCTGACACCCACTTCATTCCATTAGTGGTGGTGGAGTAGCTCTGCAGGTGGAGAACAGAGCCAGGGGTGCCTGGACTGTGTTCCTAAGAACTTGGGCTTGCTTTGATCACTGAGGTGCCCACAGGACATGAGGAAGTGAAGTTGTGCTTTTGAGGGATTCCCTGTGATGTGCAGCGATGAGCACAGAGGGCTGACTCAAACCCATCTGGGACACAGTACCCCAGTGTCAGTCTGAGCAATGCAGCAAATGGCAGCATCTAATTCCCAATAACCACAACATGAAAGAAATGGTGAGACGGCAAAGAGCACAGTCAGTAGTGGTTTGAATGGTGGAGTTTGTAATCTTTAGGCTCTCTATGTACCTTCATCTGCTGAAATCAAATCTCCATTTGCAATGTAAACACAGGTTCTGTTTCAGCACCTAAAACTTCCCAGAATCTACATGGGCTCACCAGCCAGAGAAGTCCAAAAGAATCTGTTTTAAAATGCTAAATAAAAGCCCTCAGGTAAACACGGTTAGGCAACATTAAATTTCTATTTACCAGCTAGCATTTTCCCAATGATGAACAGACCCATATATTTATTTAGAAAAATTAATTGGACTACCAGGCTACATATATTGTTAAAATATAGGAGTGTTACAAATGATACCATGGGAAAACTCTTCTTGAAGGTGATCTTAGGGTGTGAGAACTAAATATTTTAGGAGAAGTTTATTGTTTGGGGTTTTTTTAAATAAGTTGGTTATTCAGTCTTCTACATATAGAGGGACTGAAAGTGCTAAATGCTGTCCATGATGCTGGGGAAAATTCTGAAGGTGTACTCTGCTCTTGGAGTGGTTACATAGAGTCAGGTTAAACACCAATTGCACTGATAATGAAGGATTTTGAAGGGAATTTATTTAAGAGTTTTAAATACTCTGTAGGGGGCAGTTTTGAACCAGATTAATGGAAATTTGAAGCTGACTGACTCAAAGTTATGTTTTTATACTCAGTTTTTTCATCCTCACCAGCTACATGGGCATAATATCCTTTTTTTTAGGTACATCTCAGTGCTTTCAGAAACAGGTAGTTGCATACTATCATATAATACCACACAGCTGAGAGGCTTGTCTGCAAGTAAAATTCAGTAATGGTAGCTAACAATTCTTTTTTTAAACTGTCAGTTAGATAGATTCATAACTGAATAGCAGTGATTAGAACTTCGCAGAGTATGTCTGCATAAAAAGCAGCTCTGCAAAAGGGCCCAAGGGCAGAAGTAGAGCTTGGGATCTCCCTCACAATTCTGGTTCAGCCTTGAATCGGGGCTGAGTTTTGTAGAGACTTAAAAGGAATTAAAAAAAAAAAAAAAAGAAAAAGAAAAAGAAGCAGCTTCTTGGAGACACCAGTATTTTCCATAGCATTTAAAAATGCCTTTAAACACAATACCATCATTATTTGCACTTATTTTAAATGGATATTATGCTACACCATGGAAAAAGATGTCAGCACATTTATTAGCCTAAAGATGAAGATTTTAATCAGATTCTCTCCAGCAACATGCCACTTCGAAGTATCAAAGCCAGAAATGGACTATTCAGTCCATATTTAGTCTATAATACTAACTGTATTTAATCTGAAAATTATTCTCTCAGCAGAGTGATAGTCCTTATTATCAGGATTTAAGCAGAAGTGACTCTAGAGAGCAAGCTGAAGAGAAGACGAGGCTCAGTCACTGAGTCTTTTTTCCACTTGGAAAGGAAGGAATAGACTAGGTCTCACTGAGGAAAATAAAGCTGTAGATCTAGGTCACCTCTGTAACCGATAGCGGAGTATTTCTTAGTACAATCAGTGGCTCTGCACTGACTGCCATTATTTTGATTTGAATGAACTTGAAGCCCATTCTAAACCATGATATGCAGATGAAGTTGTTACTTAGCTGATACTGTAACTAGCTGATAATACAAAGTAGCTAGATTCACTCTGAACACTGGCAGAAGCTAAAAGGATTATTTTCCCAATGTCAAAACTAAGCATGAATGCCTGGCAGATGATCAGACTCAGCAGCTCTACTACTTAAAACTTGAGAGCTGATTGTGTTGCCTCCAAAGCTGGTAGGACATCTTGTCTGTCCTCTCCAGGTCTAGAATCCTTGCCTACTCTGTTTGAATTTGAATTATTTTCAAAATTGATGTACAGGGTCTGGCTGGGATGGAGTTATTTTCTTCATAGCAGCCCATATGCTGCTGTTTGTTATATTCTGTGACTAAAACAACACTGATGACACAGCAATGTTTTGGCCGTTGCTGAACAGTACTTGCACAGTGTTGAGGCTTTATTTTTTTTCATGCTCTGCTCTCTTAGTGAGTAGGAGGGGATAGGTGAAAATCTTGGGAGGAAAACAGCCCGGACAATAATGTAATGTAATGGCTAGTCTTCGTGAATGAAGAACCGGGGAAGGTCTTTCCACCTTCCAGCCTGCGCATTGGATTTTTTAGGTGAGACACAGTGTGCGTGGAACTGAGCCCACCCTTTAATCCTGAGATTCATCTGCCGGGGCCAAGCGAGCTTGGACGGTGGCAGCGAGGTCCTCGGGACGTAGATGGATTGCCTTACAGGGCTAACGAGCTCCATCTGCCCAGGGAGTGTCCTAACCAGGAATCGAACCCGGATCTCAGCGTTGACAGCACTGTGGTTTAGCCACTGCACCAGCAGGGGCTCCCAACCCGGACAATAGACTCAAACTGGCCACATGGATATTCCATACCACATAACATCATGCTTAGCAATAAAACCGGGGTGGCACAATAAGAAGATGGGGGAGTTTGTCTTCCAGGATAGATGATTGCTTGAAGACTGGTTGGGCATCACTCTGCTTATGGCAGGTGGTTAATTATTTCCCTTGCATTGCTTTTTTTTTTTTTTTCTTTCATTCACTTACTAAATACTCTTTTAACCCAACCCATGAGCTTTCTGACTTTTACTTATCCTAGTATCTCCCACATCCTCCTGAAATGGAGAGAGCAGGAGGTTGTGGGTGTGTTTGCCTGCTGACCAGGATCAGCTATCACAATTGGAAAAACCCCAACATGTGTATGATGTCCTATGATGCGCTGTCACATACAAGTTCAACAGTGCATGGTCAGCTGCAGGTGTACAGCTTCTGCACAGGACTTTCTACTTCAAGGCACTCTGAAGGACTTTCTTCCACATCTGTGCACATGCACCCACTTCTGTAACTGTAGTGGTAAAACACCGGGCAGGGCACCGGAGACTTTGTCAGAAACACAGTGCAAACAGAGCAAGTGTTCATTGTTCCTCTGTTCTCTCGGCATGAGGCCACTGGTGCGTGTCAGCCACTTAAGAAAACTGATGAAGTAGAGAACTAAGGGAGAGGAATGCTGTTATTACAGGAATGTAAATTAATGAAGTACAGAGTTCTGCTTCTCTCCAAGGATGCTCAACATTTGCTGACTGGAACGAAGGGGACAGTGAGGGCATCCCCCTGCTGTGACTCTCAGGGGACTCCAGGGTCCGCCTGGACAACACACGCCCAGCAAGCCGCCTTTGTCAGCACCGCTTCATTGGCAGAGGCTCAACATCAGAGCGCCAGGAGGCCGGGACAACCCCCCACACGACAGCCTAAACCTCATGTTCCTCGGTTAAAACACCTTTATTTTCTGCGAGCGGGGACCGGCGAGAGCCGCAGGAGGACGGTGACCGCCTCCGACACTCGGCCGCTTCGACCCGCCTGGGCACGGCCGCCCGAGGCACCGTGACACCACCCCGGCTGGGCCCCGAGGCGTGGCGGGAGCGGTTGGTCAGGTCCGGTCGGGCACGGCTCAGCACAATCCCCCAAGGCTCAAACCCCACAGCCGCCCCCGCCGCTCCCGCCGCTCCGGCCCCACCGAGCGCGCAGCCCCGCCCCGTCCCTGCGCGCCCCGCGGCAGCGCGGCGCTGATTGGCTGCCGGGGCCGCGCGGGGCCTGATGGGAGCACCGCCCGGGCGGCGGGTCCCTTCTGCGGCGGCGGCGGCGGCTCCGGGGTGGGATGCGCGGCCCGGCCCGCGGCAGGTACGTGCTGCGGGGGGTGCCCGGCCCCCGGCGAGGCGGCGGGAGAGGGGCGCTCGGTGCTCCCCGTGACCGGAGCCTTAAGCGCAGCAGGGCGGCCGGTGCTTTCACCCGCCGTGCCGCGGGCAGCCGGGCGGCGGCCGTGGTGCAGCCCCGGAGGAGGGAGCCACCGGCCGCGGGGAGGGCGTGGTGGGGCCCTGCGGAGCTCGCCCGGGCGCGGCGACGCCGAGCACTGTCCCCGGGACCGACCGGGGCCACCCCCGAGCCTCGCCCGGCCCCGCCGGCCGCAGGCTTCGCACCGAGGCTGGGCTTCCAAAACTGCGCCTGACCCAGCCACCCCTCGCTCCGCCGCTGTGCAGCGCAGCCCGTATGGGAACTAATTTGCCTTTCTGATTAAGGCTCTACAAAGCGTAAGACCTCTGTAGGCTACTTCCGAACAGGAACACCTGAAAGCCAAGTTTAAATGGGAAAAAAGTTCAGTGTCGTGTTTTAACTGAGAGGACCTAGAACAGGCTAGCAGTAGGTGGTGGGTGATGCTTTTGGTTTTCTTTTGCCTGTTTCCTTGTCCACGGCACTCGTAGCCGGAGAAACTTTATGGTCCCACTGGAGGTTTCTGAGGTCAGTTAATTGTGGGAGAACTGGAGATTCGATATGAATGGTAGAACTTGTCTTCTTTGCAATGATAAATATCTAAAAATATTTACATAAAATGAAGTCACTAAGCTTACAAAAACCCTCATTTAAAAAGCATTGCCTGTTCCTTCAGGGGAAAGATTTGTATGTCTGTACACAAGGCCTTCATGACAAGTTTCTAACTTCCTTTTTTTTCTTTTCCTATGTCTTCTCTTGACATTATTGAGTCTTGAATTTCAGCATGTCAGTTATTAACATTTACTTGGAAGACTGATTTTTTTTTTCTTTTTGGAGACCTTTTAATCTTAAAACATTATCAAGCTTGAAGAAATTTGAGACTGACTTGATAAAAGTGAAATGAGATCATCAAACTATTTTCTCCCTCTTGGTGGATGGGTTGGTGGATGACTTCCGTAATCAAGCATGATTCATCCCTCTTTCAAAGAGAAACTTTTTCTGCTGTGGTACTCTTAGTCTGGCACTTCTGCTTTTTAATAAATAACTTACATGTTTTGGGAGTAGAGGAGCAGCTATCAAGAAATTAATATTTTTTGAGAGAGAGTCAGGTAATAAAATTGGTAGTAGTGTTTTCTTGAGCTTCTATGTTAAGTGTTTTTTAACAATTCTGTTGTCTGTTTTAAGGCTAGGATTAGGAAACATTGCAACTATCTTGTGTATTAAATCAGTGATAATGTTTGTGGAAGTAAGTTCAATTGCAGTCATGCTTAGTGAGTGGAGTGCACAGCTCAGTGCTAAAGAAGTGTAGTCTTCAGAGTGGAGAGTACTATGTAGTTATTTGTTGATTAGAGCATGGGAAGCAAGTAACTTGTGGAGGGAGAACTCTTGCCATGAATAGTAGTATATTAGGGATAGGTATGTGGAGTGGTAGATGAGGAGAGTTTGAAGCAGTTGAAGGCAATTTGTGTTGTCGTGTCAAAAAAAAAGAGGAAAGAAAGGAAAACATTTGAGCATCTGAGGCACTCCATTGAAATCATAAAAAATTCTGTATCTCCGAACTAAGGATTCAGTGTCTAAATTGTAAATGTCCATCTAGTGGCCCTAATCCCTTAATACGTCTTTGGGGAAGGGTTTTGGGAGTATTACTGACTTGCAGAGCAGCATGTATAAAGCCTGTCATCATCATAGTTCTTGTCAAATCATATGTACAGTGACACTTGTCAAACCTGTTTCTCTTCCACGTATTTGCCAGATATTTTAAAAACACTTGTGTAGAAATAGCTTGTGAATGTGTTTTTGGTAAAAGTCAGTGTCACCAGTATCTCATGGGTAACCTGTGCTCAGAATGTCCTCTAACACTTCTACTGGAGATGATCTCAAACTATGGCTTGAAGGAAAATGGCACACACAAAGGCTGCATGAGCATTTCTGTCACGGCCATTACTGAGAGCTACTATTGCTTTTAACAGCAGTGGCAATGCTAGGGAAGCAAACTAGATTTGTGAGCCTTGTGCTACTTTTACAGACTTCTTGATTGGCTGTTTGACACATTATCTTTATTGCAAAACAGTAGGAAAGCTATCTGTCTCTGTATAAATACTTGGGAAGAAAGTGTCTGCCCACATCTACTGCAGTACTGTCATGCAAAAACTCATGCAAAGGGACAATTGTGTAACAATCTGTGTTAATCATGTGTTTGAAGAAACCCAACCTACTGTTCTCCTGAGTTGAGTTACTGTAGTAGTGATTAGTTTGAGAATTTGCTCAAGAGCCCAAGGGGTAATTGTGCTTTTTCTGTAGCTCACCCCTTTGTGCTGGTAATTTGGCAGCAGCAGAGCTAATTTGCCCATCTGTTATAGCTTCATTTTGGCGGCACTTCAAATACGGATTTACTTATTTTTAAGGATTGGTTTCTGACATCACGGGGCCTATAGTTCTAGATTCTGAAACCCTTGGCTTTCTTAAAAGATGATGAGGTTACCTACCATACTACAGTACTGTTCCTGCTTGTGAGTGGCCTATATAAATTTGTGCTAACAACCTCAGACAATTTGAAAACAAATTTGGATTTTTTGCTGAAGGAAACTTAATAAACAAGATAATAATCACTTATATTTGTACCTAGCTAGATCAGTGCTTTGTTTCTGTAAGTCTTACTGTTTCATTCCAGAATGAAGAAGGTTTGAGCCTCAGTTGGTAAACCCCCGGTTTACTGTTGGGGTTGTTATGAACTGATTACTTTTTCATTCACTAGGTAAAAGACTTGTAATTTAAATGAGCAGAAAGAGATTCTGCTATACTGAGATTCAAAGTCAGTTAATTCCAACTACCTTCTTATGGAAAGTTGTTACACTCTTGTTTCCGGAACTTGGACCTAGGTCATTGAATTAGTGTTGTTCAAGGGTTCCAGGTTTGTGTAGGGTGAGGTAAGCTGCTTTTGCACCTTTGGAACTGTTGGAGTTATTTGCTGATGAATGCACTGTGAGTTGAGTGCGGTGAAGACTTGCCAATTGCTGCTTTTGTTTAGCAAGTGAAATCTCTTTGAAACTGATATTTGAACTTGAAACAGATACCAAAGAACAACAATAGTGCTGTCCAGTACATTCTTTTTGATGATGGTGTAAAAAGGAAGTAGGTTTATTTGAGAAATTTTCTCATGAATAGTAGGATATTAATGCTGGATGCTGGGACTGACAGCTGAAGAGGAACACTGAGTTATGCTTATGGGCAGCAGAGGAAATAACTGGAAATCAGTTTCTTAAATAATCCTGCTCAATAGTAAGTTTTAAAAATTATTGTTCTGCTGGAGAATTTTGATGGCTCTTTTAGCAGTAATTCTGTGTCTCAGTTTTTGAGGACTCCAATCTGATTAAGAATTTCCAAAGTAAAAATAAATTTGGCCTCATCAAGGCTGATCAACTGGCTTACAAGATGGCCTCTGAAACAGAAAACTGGATTTAAAAATAAAACATAGATAGGTAACTAGGAAATGGCTTTTGCAATATTTTGATTTCTTTGGATGTTGGAATGAGTTTGTGAATCTTCGATTCTGGTGTTAGCTTGCTCCTAAGTGCTTAATGCTTTCTTTTCTAGCTGTGAATGCTCATAGAAGAGTGATAGCTCTGCCAATATTTGTCCACAATTGAAGATGGGTGGATTGATTTCAAGATGGAGGGTAAGTAAAATCGTGTAACAAGATAATCTTCTTTAGTCCAGAAGATGGGAGTACCTTGGACATGTTTCTTAATGCCCATTGCTTGACTGTTAGTGCTGGTTGAATCTAAGTGCTAAACTTTTCCCATGAATGTCAGTCATTTAAAAATCTAGTAGTGAGACATCCAGTGTTCAGAAGTATTCTCTCCAAATCACTAAATTGTGAAACCATGTTGTTGTCCTTTATTTCCTTTGCAGAATCAATCTGGCACTAGCTTGGTTAACTTATAAAAATACAGTTTTAACTCTTTCTGTAAGTCTGAATAGTTTTGTGATGCTTCATCGGGATAAATACTGCAGCATCTGTGACTTGAAAGATTGGTGGATTTTTTAGGTCAAAATAAGATACATGCAGAATATCATTGTCTGTTTTAACACATATTTTGCTAACTACTTACACCTATACAAGTCTGTCTTCCTATCCGCTTTTGTTGGCTTGTATGTTATTGAGTTGTGTACTGAGTTTATGAGGAAGAAGAGGCACCAGATTTTTGACTACTCTCCTGGCAGGTGTGAGTTGTTTGAATCTAGGTTTGCCTTTGCTTATTAGCAATTGACTTGTGACCTTCCCACACAAAACTCCTCTCAAGATGAAAGTTTAGGTGCGATGTCAGTTTTGCGTAAGAGAAACTCATGGTGATGCAGTGTGGGCCGTGGTTTTTGAATTTGTGGTATGAAGGGTAGGGAAAGATTATCGATTGATAGTTTTCAGAAATTAGGAAAGATTCCTAGAAGGTGGATTTCAAATTGCTCTGAAGGGGATTTTACTGGAGATGATAACACTTATTTGCAGTTGCTTATGATTTATTTAGACCATGTGTCTTTGTGTAGAGTGAGTGGTCATAAAAAGCTGAAGTACTCAGATCAGGGCTTCCTCTATATATTTGCTTTGCTTTGCCTATTTCTTCCACTCATCAATTCTGTTCTTGTTTTGCTTCCCACCCACACATTCATTATTGCTGTATGTGCATTATAGGTTTTCATCCTTTGTGATGTAGGAGAGGAGCCTTTAGTTAAGAGTAATACCAACTGTAAAATAGTGATTGATTATAATCCCTTCTGTTTATCACAAAGTAGGGAACTTATTACCTTTATATAAAACAGATAATTTATTAATCTGTTATAAATATGTCTTTTTGTTAGGAAACTGTTAATGGACAGTAATCCTCAAAAAACTGACTTTTACAAAAGTGAGATTAATATCTTTGTTCTTTCTCTTGTAAGCAGGCAAAGCCGTCCACTGTTGAAGTATTAGAAAAAATAGATAAGGTACGTGTTTGCTTTTCGTGGTTTGTTTTTTTTTTTTTTTTTTTTTTTTTTTTTTTTTTTTTTTTTTTTTTTTTTTTTTTTTTTTTTTTTTTTTTTTTTTTTTTTTTTTTTTTTTAGAAATACGCATCCTTTTTGCTGGCCATGTATTTCTTTCACATTTAGTAAAACATTGTAATGAAATTTTAAATTAATTTGGTAATTATTGCAGTACTAGAGATTCTGAGTTTCAGAGGAATTGCTATTTTTTTTCCCCTTACTATTAGTAATTTAAAAAATACCCATACTCTGTAATAGATAGTGAGAAGCAACAGCTCAACTATTTATTTAGAGAGCTTGAAATAGGAATGAATGTGAAGCTGCCTTGATTACACAATTATTTATCACTAGTGGTTAAAGTCCCATGTAATGGAAAATGTCACTAATACTAAGTTCCATTCATCTGGTTGATTAGAAAAGCTTCAATGTATAGTTTTATGTGTAAAAGTTGTAACTGCGATAGTAGTAAGTAAGGTCAGGGGCAGAATAACTGAATAGATGGTTCAGTAATCAGTTGTGGTTTTTCACCAGCATTTGTGACAGATGTCTGTACTCTACGGGGAAATTAACTGTTTTGAAGTATGCTGCTGATATTTTTTGTTTTCCTTATGATGAAAGTGTGAGCACTCCTGTTGTCACTTGAAATACAGTCAAAATGGTTAACACAGCAGAGCGTTGCTCACTCACTTATTAATATGCCAGAAGCATCATACAAATATTCAGGATTTCACTCTTAATGTGAGGAAAGTACTGAGAGGAAAACACATGAAATAATGGAGATGTTTCAACAATTTCCCATTAGAGGCATTTAAAATTCCACAGGTGCCTGATGAAAGTTTTAAGATGCATTGATTGATGTCATTGTAAAGACTGCCATTCATAAGATATTATCATTTTTCTCTTGTCCCACCCAAATATACTAATAAATTTCAATTGTGGAAAAAGTGCTGATTTGTAATATTTCTTCCTTATTGCTAATACAGTGCAAGTACCCCATATCATAATCTTAATAGTGTGGTGTATTTATGCTATGGAAGTTATCTTTGGGCAAATATTGTCGTTTGTCAAAAAGCTACTTGATTTTAATCAAGTATCAAATTGATAAGGCTGATTTAAGCAAACATTTAAAGGCAGCTTAGTAAAGCCACCTACTAATTTTGCTAATAAGGTTGAACCCTGTTTATTTACAGGAAATACAGACATTAGAAGAATTTAGAGAAAAAAATCAGAGGCTACAGAAACTATGGGTTGGAGGGCTGCTTCTCTACTCCTCACTCCTTTACCTTGTTACTTGCTTAATTGTATATCTGTGGTGTCTTCCTGACGAATGGACAGCAAGGTTGACAATGACACTTCCATTTTTTGCATTTCCATTCATGTAAGTAAATATGCCTTTTTTTATTTTCTAACTGCTGTCTGTTTGATAAAAGGAGATGGAAAATACATCTCAGCAGGAGGTTAGGTTTACTTTGACAATCCTTGAGATGTCATAACTTGCTGAATTTTTTCTTCTAAAATAAATTCCAATAGTTAGGCAGACACTTTTTTTTGTGGGAAATGTCTCTCATGGGTCTGGAACTAAGTCTTATCATCAAAAGATGATAGGATCTAAAGTTACTTGCCCTATCAAAATTATGCTAGGGCGAGAGAGACAGACCTGTATTTGAGCAGGTGCAAGGCAATGTAGTATAAGCAAAAGAGCATTATCTTGGGTTTTATTTTTACTGCTAGTTGGAAAGTAACATCTCTGTATGAAAGTAACCTATGGTATATCACCTATTTATAAAATGTAGCATTGTAAAACACGGGAAAATACAAGAATGAATGGAGAAATTTGCTGTTACCTATTGAAGTAAGTGTGTTAATACAGAATTAAAAAGAAGATCATCAACCTAAGTATGTTGAAGACTAGTTTTATGTAATTAGCTGTTTTTCTGGAAAATCATTGACTATTTACTTCAACAGTGAAATATCCAGACTTCATTGGATGTGAACAGGAGAAAATATTGTTTAAGTTTTTGTTCCACTGAGCTGATTAGCTGCTCATCCTGATGAGTGGCTTTCGTTTTCTAAGAAAGCTACTTTTCTAAAGTAACAAAATGGGCTCCCACCTCACTAAACAGCTGCTTTACTGCCTCTCCTTACCTCAGATCAAGGAGGAGAAGACATCCTACTGAGGATGCTCGCTACAGGGAGCACAGTGCATTTACTAATTTGCTGAAATGAACATCATAAATACTGTCCGTATTTATACAGCATCTTTGTATGAAAATACGACTTGTCAGTGCCCTAGCTTTAAATGTTAAAGGCAAAGTCAAATGTAAATATTTAAGGCTTTGCAAGTTTGATTAACGTGGGTCAGCATAACATACCATGGGGAAAAAAAAAAGGCACTTGAAGATGGTTTTTGGATGTCATACTGTGTTATGCATAATGTACTAATATGCTGTTGTTGTGGAATCCTGTGGAGAAGATACATGGGTGGCAGTATCTTGACTGGAAAGGATTAATATAGAAATTAGAGCTCAAATCAGTATTTGGCAGTAACATGAATTGATTTTGTTCTTAAGGACAAGCATTTCAAAGTCTTTTTTGTGAATGTGTGAAGCTTGCTCATGCTAATAGGAAAGGCTTGTAGAAGAGGAAGTATTACCAACTCCCTTTCACATAGATGTGTTAGGATTAGTGTAGAAATGAAAACTTTTATCATTGAAGGTGAGATGGCTTCTAGTGCTGTGCTGTGAATTTTCTCAGTGGGTTTTTATTCTCTAGTTTGTCTTCCATTTCCACCTTTTTTCAAGATGGCTCTCTGTAAAATTCCAACTTAGATATCGGCTTACTGGCATTCAGAATTAGACTGTTGTTCTCTATGACTTACAACTGTTTATCAGATTTTTTTTTTTTATTTAAGCTATTCCCCTTCAGCTTGTTTTGGCAGATATGAATGGCAAGCAGCTGCCAGCTTGTCTTTGTGCTCGGTCAAGAGGTGACTCCATGCTGAATGCCTGGTGCCACCCAGTAATAGCTCTAGAGATTTTTCAGCCCTAATCAAACTGGAATATGTCTGCCTTTTCCAGCTTGCAGTCAGTCACCAACTTATTTCTGCCTTAGGTCAGTCCCTCAGGGTCTCAGCAAGTTACTGATGCTGGTAGAGGAAGTTAAGTTCTAGGAATATAACTTGGTTAATTGTAAATGTATGTTGAAATATCTGAAAAGTTGAAGAAATATGTTAACATGTTAGAAGGATGCTCTCCTTGAACTGATTTTTATTTGAATTGTTTCATCTTGCATGTTCTGATTTTCAGAGAAACATGGTTTTATTTTGTAAAATTGATATGAAATAGTCTGCTATTAAACTTTCATCTCAGAGTTCTTAAAGAGGAAATGTCTTTTTATTTCATGAAGTCCTGCCATAGCTATAGAAGACTCTTTAACTTGCATTAAAAAAGAAATAACACTTTTTTCTTATGTAACACAGTATTTAAGGCAATTCAAACCCTGTAAGCATTTATTTCTTCTGATACTTTATGAAGACACATTTTGCAATGTGTAAGCAGACAAACCCATCTCTGTTCTCAGAGTAGTTATTATAGCGAATCTTTGAACCTGGAATAGTTAAACTTCTTTCTCTGTTTCTCTTACCTTGGATAGGTTACTCTCACATCCCAGTTGCCTCATCTAACTTGCCTAACTCAGGCTATGTTAATACTTGAAGGCATTTTGAACTGGGAAACCATTATATAAATGCAAAAGATTTTTTTTTTTCTTAAACAGAACATTGCTAATTTAGGCTCTATTATTTAATGCTTCACATAAGGAGGGTTTTGGATAAGATCACTGGAATGGCTTGAAGTATGAGACTTGCTGCTTGGCTTAGGCTGAATAACTTACCAGGAAAAGTGTCAATTTAATTATAAGCAAATGAAGTCATGATGGTTGCAGAGAGACCTTTTGAATGTAATGGGGTCATAGATCAGTTTGACTTTATCTTGAGGTAAACTACTCTGTTGTTTGAGCTAAGTCAGCTGAAACCCTACAAAACCAGTGGATTCAGAGCTCTGTAAAATCACCAGGACTCAGGTCAGTTAACTGTGCTTGGGAGGGTATTTGTACAATAGCTGTATCTTGTAGTTTTCATTGGTATTGAATTCTTCCTGCAAATCTCCCAGGCTGTGATTTTGGGCCATAGCTTATTAGCTTGGGTTTCTGGATAACATGAATAATAAATCTATCAAATAAGAAGTGATGACTGTGTAATTTTCAGCTGAACATTTTAGTAAGTGATGATGTTACTTGCAACTGCTGCCTTAGTATTTCTACCTTTAGTAATACTTGGTTAAATTTTAATAAAAAAGAACATTTTTTTTAGAGCAATGTTGATGTCTTGACAAGATACTAATTTAATTTTTAGCTTTTTATATAAATACTATCTAAAGATTTCTGTTCTTTCTATTTGCCGAATCTCATCTGGTAAGTGTTCTGTTTGCTACATGACTTCAGAAGTGCTTACTGTAATTTATTTTAACGAACATAATTCTTCTTTCTGTTTTAAAGAATCTGGTGTATAAGAACACTGCTCATTTTCTTCTTTTCCAAACGGACAGAAAGGAATAGTAAGTATTTTTTTTTTTATATTGAGCTAGATAAGAATGATGCTTGCTATGATAATGTAAATGATTTTGATCATTTGGCTTCCAGGCAAAGGTAGTCTTTTTGTTAATACTGAAATGGGTAGTATTAGCTACACTTATTTCTACCACATGGTTCATGAAAGAACAGGAAGGAAACTGCTTAATCTTTCACTTCACTTGTAAAATTGTGATAACTTTCTCCCATCTTTGCACGTGTCAAAGTGTAATGGAATAAAAGACAGTGTAAAAGTGAGAGCGAGGGGAAAGGAAATATAAACAATAGTAGTAGTTCCATTGATACTTGCATCTCGCAAGTATCCCAACAGTCCTAATGTGTTATCCTTATATATAAAAGAAGAGATTTATAGGAGATGTTTTAATTTATTTGTCAAGATAGCTTTTCTCTCACAAGCTCTCCAAAGCATGCTTGTTTTCTTGAGTGGGAAGGATATAAGCAGGTATGTTTCTACTTTTTTGAGAGCTAAGGAAATTGGAAGTCATGTAACAAAACCAAAAAGTAATGCATTTGTTCAAATATATATAAAAAGTTGTTAAATTTTGCATTAGAATGAATCTGCATGCTATTTAAAAACAGCATCTGTGGCACTTTTCTGCAGTAGTTAGAATTCATTTGAGACTTTCCTTGAAAGCAGTCCAGCCTATAACAATATCTCATGGTGATGTGAGCAATAATACAGGAAAACCTCAATGTTGCACTGTGTTTTATGACTTGCAGTACAGCATGATATATTTAATTTGTGACAGCTTATGAGTTAAACATCACTTTTGGAATTTTAGTTAAACTTAATGTTTGTTTTTGATATGCGAGCACCAAACATACATTTTTATGTGGAAATAAAATTGTCAGTCTATTCTGTGGTGCTGTGTGATTGATTTCTAAGGAGAATATATATTTGCATTTCATGGCTGAATTAGAAAAAAAGTATATATGTTTTTCTAGTTTGCTTAAATGTCTTTATTGCTGTTTTGAGTATACAAGCAAGTCTGGTGCTTTTGTTAAACCTGTATATAAAGGTTTTTAGTAGATGATAGAACATGCTGAAAGGGATTATTATGTCTATGTGTTTCCTGAGATTGGATAAAAATGAAGTGTTTTACCTCAAAGATAAAAGTCCTGTATTTGAAAAAGAAAAATGAAATGTGTGGTACAAGAGTTAATGGCGGTACAGTGGGAGAAGGTGTAGCTGGGAGAGCAAATTGGCAGCTAAGTGGCTCAAAGCTAACCTTTTATTCTGGGATAAGTTAATATAACACATTGAGTCACTGGAGATGGTTATTTAATACTATAAAGCTCTATGCTGGATAACCAGCATACGTCAGATTTAGGAACCGTGTTCTGAATGAGGAAAATTCGTAGCTGGACTCTAGGAAAGGTGATGCAGAGAGATTATGGAATTTCAGTTTTTAAGACAGGTCAGGAAAAACAATTGTTAAGGGAGATTTAGGCTGATCTGTCCCGAAGTGTGGGGAAAATAAATGAGGTGTATTGCAGGTATTGACTTCTCTAGTATGAATTCCTTTTATTCTTTAGGTTTAATTAACATGAGCATACTTTGCAGTAATTGCCCTTTGGCGACATTTGAAGGGGCAGGTGTTTCATGAGGTTCTTGTTGAATACAGGAAGTAGAGTGATCAGAAACGCCCACACTTAAAGCTGATTGCCCAGCTTTGTGGAGAGCCATGCCTGAAGATGTTCAAGGCACTTCGGTACTAAAAGTGGTTTTGGGTTTTGGTTTCTTAAGTGGCAGTTAACGGTTGGCTGTATCTGCTGCTTGCTTGGCTGCATGGTATCACACTGCACTGCAGTGCATTCCAAGCTGTTAATCTGTGTGGGGCTACATGAGAGACTGTGATCTAATATACATGTAAAATTTGATGAAGGAGATACCTTATTAACTTGAAGATGCACACTTTCTGGAATTGCCCATCTTCTGTGGTCCAGCCCAGTACTAAATATGGTCTTGTTCCATGTCCTATTTATCTTAACTAATATGGGTTGTTGTAGTTACCCTTTTATTGCATAAACTTTCAAATATGTGCATTCCCAGTTTTAATATTTTTCACATTTAATAAAGAGGTTTATTTTATCAAAATGAGTCTTGACATTCTGGAAAGATCAAGTAATTGTTCTCTTACTTTCAAGTAATGGTGTTCCTGAAGTGGTATGACATATTTATCTAAAGAAAGATGCAAAAAAAAATTATTTTTAATTTGATGGGTTTTAGTCTTGTGTCTTGGAGTTTTGTGAAGCTTTTTCTTGCTTTGAAATCTGAAAAAATGGGTAAAAATAGCTATATTTTTACAGGAATTTAGTTACCAGTGTACACTAGAGCTGAGTAGGAGGGAAAAAGTTGTAAAGTTTATTGTTAAACTCTTCTTGCTGTGAAGGATGTAGTAGAAAGCTATATTATTGAGGGAGCATCTTCTGCTCTCTCAATAGATCATTAGGTGATGGTTTATTACAGTGAGATTTCCGTGAGTGTCAGGCTGCGAACATTGACTTACAAGAAAATCCCACATACATTTGACCTTTTTTCTTTCACTTCCTCTTGGAGAGATTGGGTGCTGTGCCTATTGGTTGTAACAGAGTCTCTTAACATTTAGTAGTAAAATGACCTTCAAGTAGCTGTTCTTACAAAACTGGGGAGTTTGCTGTAGTCTCAAAGTATAGAAAGGGTGAAATACACTGAGCTCTAAAGCTCAGAGTTGACCTGGCATTTGAAACTAGTATGTGTTAAGAGGCTTATGTGACATACTGAAGCCAGTAAATCTGGTACTCAGATATATTAATGCTTAGACCTCAAGCTTTTTTCCTGTAGTTTGACTCATGAGATTAAGTGTATTTGGTCCATTGTTGTACCAGTTTTAATGTAGGTCAAAGCAGGGCACTGGCTAGAATTGGTTTGCTTAATGAGGAAATGGTACATAAAATTTTTTAATAGTTATAACTATAAAGTGATAACAGTGGGCTATAATTTATAAGCAGTTTCAGCATTTTAAGTGATTTATTTTCACATAAAATAGTTATTTTATACAAAGTTTACTGGTGTTTAGGATTGGTAGTGGTCAGTGCGTAATTTTTCCTGGTCTTACAGGGCAAAGTCAGTGTTTAGAGTGTGCTGAAATTTTTTATTTATATTTGAAAACTAATGTATGTTGTCCTTCTTTTAGATGATGCGCTGGAAGATTTAAAATCTCAAAAGAAAAAAATAGTAAGTAAAACTTAAAAGCTGGGTTGTTATGGTCCACTAAAACTGTTGTTCTCCAGATATTTGCATCCACTCGACCAACACTTAATCTCAGTAAGACAAATTTAGGATGGAAAAGGTTCCAGGTCTTGGATGACTTTCCCCCTTTGCAATGTTTGTAATATTGCAAAGCTGTTTCCTCTCTACCTAATAATTCCATAAGGAAGTTTGCTGTTTACTTATGTTGTTGGCTTCATCTCCTGCCTTGTAAAGCAAAACTTTAAAACGACCACCACCAAAACACAGCCCCCCCTCGAAAACAACCAAAACCCAAACACTCTCCCCTTGCCCCTCCCCCCCCCCAAAATCAGCCCTTCTTCCCTCCAAAAACGCCAGAAGTTGTATTATGAGGGTTTAGTGTTAATGAGTTTCCCAAAGTGCTTACCTTATACCTTCTGGATTTTTCCTTGGCAGCTAAATTAATAGGAAACCCACAACAAAGATACCAAAAGGGAGATAGATAAGAGTCTGATATTATGTCACAATTTTCCGCTCTGTTTTTTGCCACTTTTAGAATGTAGATGTAAAAAAAATAACCTGTAACCTAATTGTCATTGTCTTTTGGTAAAGAGGGTTTGCTGATATTTAAATGGATGTGTCCTTTGTTTGGAGTAGTGATGAAAAGGGCTTGGACAGGCTTACATTTTCTGAGAAAGAAATAAATGAGCATGACAACTATGTTGGTAATTTTATTTTATGAAAAACTGCTTAACTGAAATTAATTAATGTTTCCAATTAACATAATCATTTGGTAGCTTTGCAGGGAAAATTCTTGGAACAGAAAAAGCACAGTGGAGAGCAAAACAGTTTTTGGAATCTTAAGTGTAAAGTCTTAATTTCAGTTTAAGTTTAGTTTTCTCTACTCATGAAAATTTTCATATTTATTCTAGAAGAACTAGTGATGCTGAATGTTTGTGTGTGAGAAGCAGTTTAGAGAAAAGACACTGAATAAAATATTAGTCAGGAAAAACCTGGTTTAGAAAAGGGAGAGTTTTTTACTTTGAGAATTGATACTGTTGAAACAATGTAAATGTGTATTTCACATATGCAAGAAATCAAAATAACCTAATGTAGAAGAGTAGGCAGTAGTTAAAAATTAAAAAACTGCACAAATACTTTGTGAATAATAATGAAATTATAGTGTAACTGTGGAGAATTTAAACCTGAAAATATAAGTTGCCATTAGTATGTATGCAACTCAAGCTTTTAATCATTAAAGATAAACTTCTAAATAGGATTAGTCAAACAGATTCTGGGAAGTCCAATAACATATGACTCAACTATTTTTCAGTCTGAGGGCACTAAAAATTGGTGACTGTCTCTTGATCTTGTGGGTGCCTGGTTCCTAGCAAGGAGCCAGAAGCAGAGCACTTATTCAGCCTTTTGGATCAAGGTGATGTTGATATTTTTTACTTAAAATTTAGGAGCCTTAGGAGGTGCATCATTCAATTAGGCATTAAAATTTGATAATCTTACATGAAATGGAAAATGTTGAAATGAAGAGGAAGGAGATGCAAGTAATGAGACAACATAATTTGTGTTTTAGATAAAAACACTCATAAAATTGTATTCTGTAAAATTATTGATAATACTCAGATTTGGTTTTGTTTTGGATTGATTTCCTTAGAGCTGTCTTTGACTATAAATAACTGTAGCAATACCTACTTTTTGGAAAAAGAAAACAAAAATCTTCAAGTAAAACAGTGGGGAGGGAGAGGGATTTTTTTTCCTTGTTCAATTCTGATTTGCTGCAGGGTTTGCAAATAGAATTAGTTACTAAGATATTTACATTGTGATCCTCAAAGTATCTGGGATAAGTAAATTATGTATTTCCTGTTTATTCATAATGCAAATTGTTGTCTAGGCACTGTGAGCCTGCCACAACAGCTGTGCATTTTCCCTTTTCTGCGTCTCAGCTGCAGAAATTGCTGGAGAAATCTTATATTGAAGACAATTGTCCTTTTGAAAAATTTTATGGTACTGTGTTTTGCCAACATGTGGTCTGTGTTCTCCCTACAGACATTATTTGTGTGCTGAAGAGACATAAGCCTGTTGTAGGGCTTACCTGTAAATGGTGTAAGCTTCTCATCTGCTAGATATAATGCCCTAGTGGCTGTGCAGAGACTGCTTGATAGAAATTAATTTCTGTTCAGTTTCTGTTCTGTCTTTGGTGATATAGTCATATGGATTCCTCTGTGGGTAAAATACTTGACAAACATAAACACTTCATCTGGAAATGACCGTTAGTATTATCTATCCTGTACTTCGACTCAAAGTTTGTGTAATACTTATTTCTCACAGAACTGACTCTCTGCTATTTTTTTCTTAGTGAGTACTTTAAAGCATGTTGAATTATGAACTGGGGGTAGGAATTAAACTGCTTAGCTGTACTTAATGCACTACTGCGAGATACAGCTTTTTTTTCCTCTCTTTGATCATAAGGGATACTGTGGTTGTGTTCGTGACTGTTTAGCTGGAATTTTGGCCTTAGAGTTCTCACCTAACGAGGATGTCAGCCCTTAAGCCTGAACATGTATAGATGAGCAAGTTCAGAGGGTTAAGCATATTAAAACAAGGGTACAGGACATGTATTAAGCTGATACAACTGAGAATTAATGGAGAGTTTACCTGGAGCAGCAGTCTTAAAGACAGGATAATTCTTAGCCTGAGGACGGAGTTGTGAAGATAGTATAGTAATTACCTTGCTAATTTTAGAATTAAACCTTGCTGAAGTTTGCTCAGCTACTCTGAATAGTAGGATGAGTATATTAGACTTTGACAGACTTAGCCATTCCATACATGAGTTTAGAAAGTTACATCTGTTAATCTTCCAGGAAGGAAAAAAAAACAACTGAAACCCAAAAAAAGTATGGGTTCAAGGCTGTCTTGGAGTTATGTTAGTAATGGAAAAAAAAAGAAGGCAGCATATGAATTCTGTTACTTAAAATAATTACTGTTTGACTTTATGCATTCAGCCTTCCAGGCATAGAAAACCGTTAATGTTTTGATAACCTTTAGCATGCAACAAAAACTTTACTAGGAGTTGATTGTTGTATAAGTCCAGTTTTGTCAAGTATGTGTTACCAGTATGTGTTGGAATACTGCAAGCGTGCAGTTGGAAGCTCAGAATACAGTTAAAGATCATAGTTACTGACAAAGGGTCAAATGAGTGAGTTCTTTCGTGCAGTATTCATGCAAAGCAGTTACTTTGGTGGTTTTATTGTTTGTATGGATCTGTTCAGAATATACTTGATTACTCTGACTTAAATTATTTATTTCCTATTTTAAGGAAACTTTTGTTATGTGTCCTTACATGATAGTTACGTGGTGTATCTTATATGGTAGACTGAAATGAGTCTCGTGGCTTTATGTGAACATAAAGAAATACCTCTTCTTAGTTGGGTTTGACATTGTAGCAAGTAATTCAGGTTATGAACTCACATAGTAGTATAGCAAGTAAGTAGTTTGCATTGTGCCAGTACTTAAGACTTCAGTTGCTGAATTGCTTCTACAAGAAGCTTAAAATACATTACTCATATTGCTTTTCAATATAGGCAACTGATGTTCCCACAGGAATTTAGTTTGGTTGCCAGCTGAAAAGGAGGCAATCCTTGCAAATATTCATAGGAGAGAATGTAGTACATGACCATGCTTCTTTATTAAGATTTGGTTAATTCCATGAAAAATTCATGCTTAGGCTGCTATTAACTTTCACGGAGACTTCACTTGTGATTCGAGTTGCTCAATATTTATGCTTGATAATGATAGACCGTGAATTAGCTCTTTGCAGAAAATAGAAAATGTTTTTGTGGGAAAAGTTTTGGATCTCAGAGAAGAGTGTATTATGGAAAAAGAGTAAGAGATGTTGAGCAGTTTGTGTTAGTAAGCCAGTGCTCAGCCCTAGGTTAACCTTTCCACGGTTATACCTCAGGATGGTGGGTGCTCAGAAATCAGTATGTAGATTTACATTCATAAATGGCCTTGCTGTGGCAGAGCACAAGCCAGTTTCTTTTCTATGCAAACATAGAACTAGTCCTTGAATTTTACACAGGCTCTTATTTGCTTCTAGTAATTACACTAATTTGTTCACAGTAAGGAAACTCTGACCTTTTTGATTTTTAATTTAGCAGTGTTAGCCAAACTTCAATTTACTTTAGAAAAGTATACCCTAGAAGTAAAAGCATGAGAATTGCAAACACTTATAGAAATCTCAACAATATGACAATATTTAAACATTTTCAAAAAATTTCTAAAGAGTCAGTTGTAATACTGAATTCTTGTTCATATTCAGCTTTACTAGAATTATAAAGCTCTATATGAGTTTCAAAATATAAAGAATAGCTTGTTGAATTATCCAATAACTATGTAATGTGAAGAATAACTTTGGCATCTGAATCTTGAGAGTTGAATTTTCCTGTTTCAAAGTAATGGCATTGTTTTTGCAGAACTTAAATATCCACAAATAGCTACCATACTAGGCAAGAAGTGCCTTAGATAAGGAAAGTGTCAAATGATGGTGGAGCATTCTGGTTTTCTCTTCCTAAAGGTTGCTTTGTGCTGTAGAACATTATTTCTCATTTTTCTTTTTGGTGTACAGACAAGTTTGTGTATTTTATGTTCATTGATGTAAAGTGAACTTGTCTTTTTTAAATTTTGATTTGAGGGGCCAGATACTGACACTGACTGTTAACACTTCCCCGCTTTGCAGCTTCACCTCACTAAGTTTACCCCTTTATACAAAAGTCTGCCTTATGGTTGGGTTTTTTTTTTTAAGCAATAAATACTTTATTTTTCCTATTAGACCATTAATTCTGATCTTATTACACTGTGTGGCATTTGTTTTACGAAGTTAGTGGGTTAACTCCAAAGTCCTGCTGAAATACAAGTTTAGGAAATTGATTTTTACTTCCTTCTTCACTCCCTTTTTGTTTCAACAGTCCTTAATTAACAGTCTGTATTCCTTGCCTTAAGTTTCAAGAAGTGTGTGGTGGAGTGAGTGTTAGATGGATACACAGTATCCATTAAATTATTTAGCTTCTGAGGTCTGTCTAAATGTAAAACCCCTTCACAGTCTGTATATGCAGAATGGCTGAAACTTTAGTTTCTCACTAGCTAAATAACGGCATAAAAGTCATGTTGACCTGCACCATTTGTTATTTTAGCAGTGATGAATGAGTTTGAGAGAATTTAATTTTTTGACCACTGACCTTTTGAATTTTGCAGTTCATGCCAACAGCAAACTTCAGAACAAACAAACCCCCCACTTTTAGCTGAAGGTGGCCATTAGTCAGCATATCTAGGAGAAAAGGTCTGCTTAAGATACTGTAAAACACATTATGATTTCTATGCATATTAGGTATTTGTCATAACTTCAACTATCTCAGTTTTAAAGTTAAGCTTTTTCTGATGTTGGCTGTTAGCCACTAAAATGATACTTTACTAGTGATTACTTTTTTAATTAAGCCCATGTATTAGCTATAAAGCCACTTGAGTGCATTGTAAATAAAATGCTGTAATAATGAAGTGCTTTAATTACATTCCCTAAAGTATGCATAGTTCTCAGTAAATTTTTTTATTTAAATTCTTAACATGTTCCCTTTTTTCTGAAAAGCAATTTCAATTGCTGTAAAGATGGAGATCCAGCCTTTAAAGTCATTTGAACAAATTCCACGGCTGTTCTCTAGTTAGTGAGTTTTCACAGCATTTGCAGCAAGCTAATTGCTTCTGCTAATAAATAATCTAAAATCAATGCTGACAGCAGTTAATTGGCACAGGGACTTTATTCTGTAAAGCACTTGGCTAATGACCTTCCTTAAATTAATAGCATTAAGTGCTATGAGGAAATAAATCTAAGGAATTGCCTGTCATTTGCTTGTCATGTCTAATAACTTCCAATAATGATGGCTGATAGATTTTTGCACATTCCATTATTGAAGTTGGTGCTTGTAATTATTCTCCTCATTATATGTAAACAATTAGCAATATTTGGTGTTTCCTTGCAATAAAGCTGTTAAGTACAAGTAGTCCATTAGAATTTAGAAACTATTTTTGAAAGCAAAGTTTAATTTCCATTGAATACAGTGAACCTGCAGGTATCTGAACATGCTACTGGTTCATTGGACTGGGCTTCAGCTTTTGGTAACATTGATAAGTTGCTTGTAAGTGGGAGGCCATGGTGGGGGGAAATACTCTGAAGAATTCTGTATTTATGTGTGGAATCTTTTGTTTCCAGCTTGAGGAAGTGATGGAGAAGGAAACATACAAGACTGCTAAATTAATCCTTGAAAGGTTTGATCCAGAATCAAGTGCAAAGGTAAGAGTCTTGTTATTGACGTAATATGGAAGGTACTATGGAGCTGAACATTCAGATAATTTTATTTATAATTAATTGGCAGGAGGCTGAACTACCATCTGCTGGAACATCTGCAACCCCAAGACCTGGACAAGGTAATAGCCCTGTAAAACGGCTGCTCTTTAGCATAGATATTCATCTTTCACAGTGATTTCCACTCTAGAAGTCTCTCTATGATAAAATTTGTAGATCAGTTGACCTGTGTTTAGGGTTAATAGACTGTTCATTACACTATGACCATTCTGCTCTGTATTTTCAGACAAAGGTTCTATTACTTAAGGCTAATGTTCTAGACAGCAGGATATTTAATGCTACTTGATGTTAAAGCAGAGAAAAAATTAACTTCTTCTGGCATACTTGCAATTTTTCTAGAATATTAAGGTGTTTTCTAGAATCTTATGTAATATGAATTCACTTAGCTTTTCAATTCTGTTTCTATTTCTGGTTAGTTAGACCTTTCCTAATGCAGTGCTTAAGCTACTTCTATTTGGTGCACAGAGAGGGAAAAGAAAAGCTGGTGCAGAAATTGGAGATTTTCTTGTTGAAAAGAATGGATAGATGATGTTTCATTTAAAGGTGCTATTGAAAAAATTAATAAAATAGAAAAGAGCTTGACTGCATTTCAAGGAAGCCTTGTTTCTAGATTGCACACACAGGTTTCAAGACTGGAAAGATCTTTCCTCTACACTCAGAGTAGAATGCTTGCATTAAAAATGTGAAATTTATGCAAATGTTTATGCAAACAAACTACTGTTATTTTTTGTTGAGGTTGAGTATAATATGCTGTAATTAAACTGAAAATGCTTGTATGAAGACAATATAAATGCTACATCTTATTGTAATATTGAAGATAGTACTCACACTTTAAGACAGACCTTTGTAGCTAACTTGCTATGATAACCTGTAAGAGCTGGTGCTCAAAATAAACTGCAGAATCTGATGTGCATTTAATAATTTTCCATAAAATAAACAGATTGCTTTAGGGAATATATTAGAATTTTCAACTGTGTCTGATTTTTGTGGGTAACCAAACACATTATTTCATTTTTCACTCCTGGACTACTGGTTTTCTTGGGTGCAAAGCACCTGAATTTACTCGCAAAGGAGTTTATAAGCTGCATCATCAAATGCACTGTTTTCTTCTTCTTGCTTAACTTCAAATTGTCATTTTAAAACCATCCTTACTTGTTGACATTGACAGTGAATAGTTGCAGTCCAGTACCTTAGCACTAAAGCTTCAATCTCTTCTGGTGTCTTAGGCTCAACAGCTTTTTCTCAAGTTTGCTCTTTACCTGTCTCTCCCATCGTTCCATTTCTGCAGTGTTCATAGTTTTGTTCAGTCTGGAGGGCCATTCTGACACCTTGTTCTGTTTTAATACAGCTCATGGGTGGTTGCCAAGAATTTTCTGTCATACCTTTAATGTTTAGGTAGCCTATGTTTAGGTTGGCTTTTTTTAAACTCTTTATAAAATCCATCCTTCTCCTTGAAATATATTAGAAATCACTACAGTAATCCAGTAGTAGTATGACAGATCTGTTTGTAGAATGCAAGTAACACTGATCAGGAGAGGAAATTGCCTGGAAATGTGTGTTTCTGTGTAGAGATATAGAGATAGCTATCTATAAATTAGGCACTGGTAAGTCTTTAGTCACCCTGACTTTATTAAGAGATAGCAGCAACAGTTTTGAAACTTCTTAGGAATTACAAGAATGTTCTCTTACCCTCTGTTCAGGCTGTGTAAGTAGCAGTGGTGACAACTTCGTTGTTCAGTCCGTATTAAATAACTAGTCTCGTGTATGTTTGGGTTTTCAAAACACAGTGCCCCTGCTTTTGATCGTGGGTTCTGAGTCAGTCAAAAACAGGTTAGTTGGATCCAGCATGTGCTGTGTTGTGTTGATTATGACTTGAATGTTAATAGAAAGGCTGTGAGGGAGAGGCTCTGAGAGAGTCGGAATTATTTCTGAGAGCCTGTCACTATAGGCTGTGGTTGACATTAATTAGTGGGGTATGATATGAGTAGATCTGTGAAACAGTTGTTGCTGAGTAGTTTACCCACACTAACTATGCTTAAAACTTTTTATTTAGGGTTGGCTGTAAATGTCTTAGGGGCCTGGTGGAAGGGATCTTTCATTTGCAAAGAATATAAGTGCTGCTCTCTGACTGTGTCATGGTGTGAACCAGAGACCTTTAAGTGGGGATGCAACTGAGCAAATGTAACATTCAGCTTCTTGGGATGCGTCCACCTTAAAGTAAGCAACTTGCTTTGTCCTGAATAGAAATGCAGTTTAGCTTTGCAAAGGATTTTGGAAAATAAATTTTGTAAGTTGTCATGGCTTATGGTTGGATTTGTCTTTTTTCCAATCTGTTCTCCAAGGCTTTGGATTCGGAATTGGTGCTGACTTTTTGCCCCTGTAAAAGTGGGTATTCAGACTGTTGTATCTTGGAGATACATTATAATTCAGGAGGGACACCCCATTTAGCTTAAGCTTGTGAAATCGTGGAGACTTATTTTTCCAAATATCTTGTTGTTGGTGTAAGCAGTAATAATTTCAGTTTTTAACTATCAAAAAGCCTGCAAGCTTATTGCTGATCGCATTATCTGCCCAAAATGAGTATTAACTGTGCAGTATATAACTTAGTGTAACTAGATGACATCTTTATGTGGTTATGGTATAATTTGGTGCATGTGGTAGAATTAAAGTGATTTGGAATGATAAAGTGTGTGTTAATAAGTTAACATTAAAGCTTCCTTGATCTTCTCTTTGCTCTCTTTGGACACAAGCTAGCCAAGTAGCAGATCTCATTATTTTGAGCTCTGTAATTGAGTCTTTTTGAAAACAGGGTAAATAATGACCAATGTGTAGTCAGACATGACAGTGTTGTGTATGAGACAACTGATGAAAGGTTAGTTAGTTTGTAGGTTTTTGACTTAATGGTTGAAATGGAAACTTGCACGTCATACTAATTGGTACAAAGATTTTACCAGCATTGCATAATAGTTGGTTTTCAGAAAAAAAGCTGGTAGTGCCCCAATTTTTCTATATGTTTAGCTCTTTTTGCAATTTTTGTGATTTTGACATGTGCTTCTTAATTAGATAATGGTAGCTTTAACAGATGATTCATATCAATCTTGAATTCGGCATAAGAAAGCACCAGGAAATCTAGGAGTGAAATTTGAAAATGGAAGTGCAACTTCATCTGTTCAGAAATGTTTTGAGGGCTGGAGTTAATGAGCATGTACTTATTCAGTACTTTGGCCATAGAGAAAAATAGGATAAGTATATATTTGCAGTGAAATAAATATTTATCAACCATATCCTGTTGTTGATAACCTGCTCTTTTCATTGTGCTAATATGACTGTTAGCAGGGCTGTATTGTAAATGAATTCGCTCCATGACTTGAATTAAAAGTAGTGCAATAACAGATGGTTGCAGGCTGGGATAGCTATAAGCATGAGGAGGAAGAAAGAAAATACTTGGTCTTTGACACTGAAGCCAACAAGTTATGTAAACTGTATATTAACCTGAATTGTACTGTGGCTTTTTAAAAATGTTTTTTTCTCTAGAAAAACCAAGGAGTTTTGAAGTGAGGGGAAAAATAAAAGTTACGCTTGTAAACATGAAAGATGCACCTCCCCACTGCAATATCTTAATATTCTTTAAGAGATCATACTGAATCATCAGTTGAGTAGCATGCCTGCTAAGTAATGGATCTGCTTACGCATCTGTATTGTTCAGTGCTAGTAATTGCAGAATTTGAACTGTAGTGTGCTTTAAGAATAGAAGTTCTCTTTTTAAGTTAAGCGTCTTCATGCAGTTGGCTTTTGGGTACACAAAACTCATTAATGAAGAAAATCCTTGGAAAATTGCAAAGCTTCATTAAAAAGACAGCAACAGTATAGCTGTATGTTGTGTTAGGGTTGAGTTCAATTGACATGTTACTCAGCTAAGTTGTGGAACTTGAAATTATGGAAATCTGGAACTTTGCAAGAGGCAATTTAACACATTGCATCTCAAAATATGGCAATTTGAGAAGTATATAGATCGTATTCAGTTACTGCAAAACAAAATTAGGGCTGTTACTGTGAAAGTGGACAGCAGGTTTAAAAGGACTTTTAAGAAGAGGTTATTGGTAACAGGGACCATATGTGATACTAAAATTATGAGACAGGGCTGTGCTCTCTATCTAACATCCCTGATAATGTGTTTATGGATTCTGGGCATGGTGTCAGAGATGCAGGCAACAGAAATTTAGGTTAGTGTGTTGTCACTAAATAACATCTACAACCACTCTAGGAAATGGAGTGCTGGGAAGGATGGGCTATAGGTCTTGACAAGGAGAGCATTTTTCATATTCTCGTAATGCAGGTTCTGGTAACTTCTCTTACTTGGAGAGCAGCAGTGTGTTGGCAAGTTGTCTTAAGTATGAATCATAAAATAGAGTGAGAGCCAAATGAACTTTTAAGTGGAGGAAAAAGAAAAAGGCATTGTGAATAACCCAATATAATTTTGTGGAAACTAGCAATGAGTCTTGCATTCTTAACTCTGTAATGAGACTAAAACTATTGAAGCACATCTCTCTAACCCTGACTGTAGTACTTGTGTTCAACATTTTTGCAGGAACAAAAATATGGGGAAAGTTTTTAAAGTAGCAGTAAGTTTTCTTAATTGAAAGCCATTTAAAGAAGACTTGCCTAGAATGATCCTTTAGAAAGAATAGGCAAAAGGGGCAAAGCTCTTGCAGGCAGTATGGAAATTGCTTAGGAATAATATACTATGGGCTCAGAATAAGTATGAATAAAGCCATGACCTATTGAAACAGACTCAGAGCTGTTAAGCAATCAAAATTAACGTGCTTAAACCACATGATCTAGAAAGACAGCCTTCAAAATGTATAAGTAACATCCATATGTAGAAATTACAATCATGATCTTCAACATTTTTATATATAAAACAATATAAAGAAGGCTTTGTAATGAAAAAAAGAATGGATTAATATGTCTTTTTATAGATACTTAAAATGATCCTGGAACAAGTGGAATTGAGCTTTATATTTATCACTAATTTTTTGAACATATGGGGAGCTGAGAAGAATTGAGAAATTGCATACCTTTAGCTTAACTTTTTAAACTAGTACATGACTGGAAACTGTAAGACAAACTTGAATATAATGGATAAGAAATCATGGGTCTTAATCAATACATTGTTTGAAGTTGAGTCATGCCTGTTAGATGGCATGGAGAAGATGATGCAGTTATTCTAGTGTAGTAAAACTTGAAAGGTTGCTACTACTGTCTCTCACAAAAAGCTCTTGAAGACATTTTAATGGTGAGGTTCATCATAAATGAATACTTAATTAAGATAAAACTTTCCACATAGGAGCAGTTTTCCAAATAGAAAGAAGTCACCAAGGAAACCTTAATGGAATTTCTGCAACTACCTCACCAATTTATCCTGGTTTCCAGATTCTGAACAGCTTAAATAGTGAAGGGACAAACTTTTACTTGCTAAAATCAAATTAAAATACAGAATCTTCATACTCATTGGGTGATCTAACTTGGATGATGAAGTTGTGTAAAGTGTAATGTGGTCATGCACATCAAGGGTGGCAGGGGAAAACTAGTAATTTTTTCTGCTCTGTAGGAAACTGAACTAGGTGGATTTAGCACGAGGTGGATAGTAAGACTTTGAGCACTTATAGTTTTTTTAATTGTTGTTACCAAAGGATTTTTAATTCTTTCTTCTGTTGTATATTAAATCTTATTTATACATACAGATAAGTAGGCAAGACCATAACCTATGTGTGTTGCAATTTTCATGGCACTAGATGTTGGTGGTTTTCCAGCAGAACTTTTATGTTTGACTTAGTACTTCAGTGATAGCAACTGTTTCTTAGCTAGCGTAAGCTGATGTCACATACTCCCTCCCTTCTCCACCCGAAGCAGAAGTTTAGCCTGGTAGTGTTGTACTTTCAGGGAGGGGGATCATTCCTTCAGACTCAGCACACCCATTTTCTAGTGGCTGGCTGCCAGTGGACCTGTAAATTGCCTGCTAAGCATTTAAACTCTTCCAGCCTGACACAAAGTCAGCAGATAAAAATCTCTCTAATCTTGAAACACAGGTGGATGATTTTAAAGTCCAAATGTAATGTGAAATTCCATTTTTTGTGAAGGAAGACAAGCAAGCTTTTTCAAAGTGATTTGGGTTCTATGTGCTAACTCCTTAGTTGTGGACGTTCTTAGGGTGTTCATTTTAGAGACTAAGCTACTACTTGTTAACCATGTTAATGTCTGCAGACCTAAAGCAATTGTTTAACTTCAATTTGATTTGTTGCAGTAGTGCATGAACTTCAGGTTTGCATGATTATTATAATGTTCAAACCATAATATATTACTGTGGTGATATTACCATTGGTCTTAATGAGAGGTAAGAACAACTGAGGAAACCTAGTAAGCTTTTCATGGTAATGATTTAATAGTAAGTCTGATAGTGGTGTGAGAAGAGGTAAAAGTAAAGACATGTTCCAGTAGACCCTGTTCTTGCTTTGTGACAATTCAAAACATGGTTTCATGGTAGGGTTGCTGAGACAAGTGAATGAAACTATAATCTTCTGGTTTTAGAGTTTTATTTATCCAGTCTGATTTTTAAAAATAACTCTGGGCACTTAGCCTGGACATTTTAGTTTTGGTCCCATGGAAAGCTCAGTACTTGAAAGCACGTTTAAACCATGGAGTAAAAAGTGGTCGGTTGTGTACATTGTGGTTTGAGTCTAGCTGTTCATATCTCCAGCATTCTACCTTACAGAACAGAATCATAAACTATCTGCTAATTTTCTTCTAGGAGAATTTTGCCCAAAGTATGTAACACTTAATGATTATTGCTACTAAAACTGAGTATCTTATGTGGTATTTACTTCTATGGCATGCTCAGCCAGGTAGCTGATGATCTAGTTTTAGACCTTCCTGGTTTTGTTTGACTGTAATTTGCTGATTGGAATAAAAATATTAATGTACTACTTCTGCTATCTTGCTTAGAATGCTAGATGCTCAATTCAGTATGTGTATTTCTCGGCAGAAATTCGTCAGAGGACCGCAGCTCAAAGAAATACTTCTACACCCTCACCTGTGACTCCTAAACAAGGTTCTCCCAAGTCACCAGTTCCAGCATCTCCTAATCTGCAGAGAGACTCATCGGGTCTGAGTGGACTCCCAGAAAGAACTGTTGTGCCATCCTTGCAATCAAATGTTTTACCAAGACGCCCTGGATCCCCTGCTACTTCAGTGCCTGGAATGGGTAAACAGAACACTTAATGTTATTTACAGTTTATATTGTTTTCTCTGGTTACCAATAAAATAGGCCATTTTCAGACAGTATGGAAATGGCATTTCATTTGGAAATAGCAGAGCAGTTATCTGATTAAGCAGGAGTTCCATATTCAATTAGCCATAACTCTTTACAGCTGGCACCTTTTGATGCTGAAACCTATTGCCTGAGCTCATTTAACTGTTATGGCTTCTTTGTTTAAATGGCAATAAAACTTTGCAGTATTCTGTAGTCAACAATATAACATACCTTTTTATGTTCTTAGTTTAGAAGAGCTCTATGCTTATATAAATCAGGTGTGGAGGAGAACACTTTCAGAATACATTCATGTTTCTCACTAAACCCTGCACATATTTTTTTAACATACATCTTGACATTTATTTAAGTTTTTACTCTAGGAGGTATAGTCATGCAATCTATACTCACAGATTAAAGTGTAAAATACCAAATACAACCGAAAAGTTGTCTCTGTTGTAGCTGAACTCTAAAATGGCATTGTTATTTTGGTACAAGAGTCAAAAGCTTAGCACTAGGTTGAAGTCTGGTAGGAATGAATACTCCTTAAAATTTAGTTTCATATCCTGAAAATGTTTTTCCCTTGATTTCTGGTTTGGTGTTTAGGTGGGATGGACTTTATTAAGTAGAATATAAACTAAATTACATTGCGAGGATTGCAGAATATGAGAGTTTTGGGTGGGCAGTATTGTTCTCATTTTTCCTCATAGATGGTAAAGCTGTGTATGGGTTCATGCCAGGCCTTTCATTCATTGCAGGATGTTTGGCAAGTTGGATCACAGGGCAAGAAAGGAGATAAAATGCTTTCTTGAATATAGAAGCAATGCAACTTGCCAAGACTTTCATGACCACCACTGTAACGTGGAGTAGTTCTTCGCTGTATATACAGGCATCAAGAATTTCTCTCTGCCCTGTGTTCCTAATTTTTACTTGAAGCTACTTAAGTCTTACAAACTGCATGTCCTTCCTTACAAGTTTCTTGATGCAGTCAAAAAGTAGGACTATACATAATACACCTGCTCTCTAGTGGAAGATCTTGGAAAGCTGAATTTTAAAATGCCTTTTCATATTGTTTAACGTAGTGGAGGAAACTTATCATGGAAAGTTGTGATCTCATTTCTCTGTAGAGTCCTTTAAGCCTTATTTTTTGTTAGTAGTTCTTTACCTTTATTTTGAAACTCCTATGAACTGTAAAGGCAAGTTATTAGTAAATCTTGATTACCTTGAAGCACCAGAAATTAGCTCCTTGCACAGGAAATTGGTCATTTGGTTGCAAACCACATTTACTGATACCTGCTTAATGAAAATTCCATCATGAGCTTAAAATTGCATGCTCCTTGTTAAGGAAGCTGACTATATAATAAAATAATATCAGCTATATAATAGCTTTATTCTTAAGGGAAGATTCAGGCACATTGAATAAGCTGGATGAAATTCAGCCTTTACTGCATAAATGGTTCAGAGGAAGAAGGAAACTGACTTGTTTGAAAGGACAGTTGCCAAGCCTGGGAATTAAAATATTCAGTGTAGTTTTTGTGATAATATCTTACAGATGCTTTTTTCCCCACTAGTAACTGGTATTTTGACCAAACGTTACTTTGTCATAGATAGCAATGGGAGACACTGCAACTGTCAGCTCATATGGAAGCCCTGCTTTTTCTTGTATTTCCCCAAACCTTCCAGGCATGTAAGATCTCAGTCATGAAGTTGTAGTGAAAAGTGTGTAAATTCGTTATCTATAAGAATAATATTGTATCTAAGTTTATGCATGGCTTGCAACAAATATGAATAGCCTTAATTATCTCTACAGAAGATTAATAATTCATTTTCATTATGCTATATTTTGTAGAGGAGAATCAATTTAACTTGTATTACCACAGAGCTCCCATATGTTTGAAAATTAATAACCAGCAGGTAGTTGAGAGTTTGCCAGCTTTGCAGAAATGACCAGTCTTTCTACAATGATTGCTTTTGATGTTTATATTAATTACTGGTGTCCATAACAGCATGAGAACCAAGATGGTTGGTCTGAGTTATTAGCAGACACTTAATTGAAGTAGTTCTTGGAGTATGTTGTGTTGTTTCATTCTAGGTAACTTTATTCAATTTTTACTTAGTTTGTCTTTTAGAAACTTTTAATATATGGTAATTTACAGGTCATATGAAAACTTGGGCTTTTGAATATTGACCTAAAACATTTGAGTGTAAGCCAGGTATTCACAAAATTATTCTAGAGCTTTAATTTTATTGCAGATTGTATCAGTGCATTTTTTTGATAGAAGTGTTGGGTCTTTCTGGTTTCTGTGAAGCTTTAGGAAGTGCATTTTGCCCGACCTTTACTTTGGAGAGCTTTTGCAGAATGAATTTGTTCTACCTTACCACCGTGAAGGTTTTCTTGGTCTGGGTTCCTGCCTGAGGATGAAATACGGGGATAACTTGGGAATGCATTCACTAATTGTTATCTCCTGAATTCAGTCCTCTTGTTTGTGAAAATTAGGCCTATTTTAAAAACATTTAAGTATGAAACTTTTTTGTACTTACTGTTGAAGAGTTGTAAGTTGCAGTATTTTCTGATCAAATTTTCTTGTGCTTTTATAGATTGGGGCAGTCCATTTAGATCAGTTATCCAGTATTGATGAGACCTGTTCTGAAAGGCTGTGCTGTTATGAATACTGCAGCCTTAATGGCAGGATTAGTCTTGTTGTATGTGTAGCACTTCAAGAGGCCACTACTGGAAATATTTGATTCTTACCGTGTTTGACATTTGCCACAGAGGATGGAGGTTAGCTGCATGTGGCATTGAGCTGGAGGTTCACTACAGCGTGATACATTTTGCCCTAAGTTACTTTTTCCTTTATTGCTTTCTATCTATGAGGGTTAAAAGGCAGGAGACTTGAGATGGTAATTGCTGGCAGTTAATTTAATGCTGTATTTAAACTTAAAGCCCATCTTGGATCAGCTTATTGAATAGTAAGACTTGCTGTGTTGTCTTTGCCTTCTGGTTTGGAGGTGAAGCCTTAGGAGCAGCTGAGGTCACTTTGTTCAGCCTGGAGAAGAGGAGGCTGAGAGGAGACATCATTGTGGTCTTCACATTCCTCATGAAGGGAGGGGAAGGGGCAAGTACTGATCTCTTCACTCTTGTGACCAGTGACAGAACTTGTGAAAATGGCATGAAACTGAGTCACAGTGGAGGTTTAGGTTAGATATCAGGAAAAGGTTTTTTACCCAGAGGGTGGCTGGGCACTGGAACAGGCTGGAAAATGCTCACAGTACCAAGCCTGGCAGAGTGCAAGATGCATTTGGACAATGCTCTCAGGCACGTGGTGTGACTCTTGGGGATGTCCTGTGCAGGGCCAGTAGTTGGACTCGATCCTGGTGGGTCCCATCCAACTCAGCGTATTTTATGTTTCTATGAACACTGTACTTAAGAAGTACATTTACTTCTATGTGTGTTTGTCCAAGGGTATCAATAGTTCTGGAAGCTAGTTCTTTGGTCACATCTTCATAGAATCATATGGGTTGGGTTGTAAGGGATCTTAAAGATCATTTATTTACAACCCCCATGCCGTGGGCAGGGACAACTTTCAGTAGACCATGTTGCCCTGATGTTTAGTTCTTCTGCTGTTGACAGTGATTTTACCAGCTCTGTTGGTGTAAGCTAGAAGTGTAAATATGCAGAGTTGAGAATGTATGAAGAAAAATCAGTTAAGGAGTTTTTCTTTCTTAAAAAGCCTCTATTTGTTATTAATCATTGAATACTATTGATATGTCAAGTTCTTTAGCTATTATAAATTTGATTACCGGGGGTAAAAGTAGAGTGATTTGTTAAGATTATAAACTAGAGAAACAGAAGAGGAATTTTTAACTATCGTGGGTTTAAAAATCTTACAGCTTTCCTAGTGGACTGAGAAATACGGCAATGTATATTAAGCAGGTGGAATTCTTTTATTACACTAGAACCCATAGTAAAATATCACATATAATAATTTAGTTGAAAATAATTTTGAAATAATTAATTTCTTCGTAGGTCTTCATCCTCCAGGTCCTCCTTTGGCAAGACCTATTCTTCCTCGAGAACGAGGAGTTGTGGATAGAGTTATTGAGTATTTGGTTGGTGATGGTCCTCAGAACAGGTAAAAGTGTTCTAAAAGAAATACTTAACATTTAGGGGAAAGAAAACTTCTTAACATTTTTGTTTAAGCCAGACTTGCCAAGGTTAAAAGAATTGCAAATTAATTTGTCTTAAGTATTTTCATAATTAAATGGCTTTTACTCCTTGTTTCACTTGGTATCTCTTTGCAGGAATACTGGTAATATTTTGGCAAAATTAACCTCTGTTTTGGGTGGTGTTAGCCATGTGATACAAAGAAAAATCTGTACTCAAACTGGTGAATGATTTATAATTTGAACAAAAAACCCCGGAACTGATTGCATTAGCACTTCAGCTTTATGTCCATTATAAATGCCTTTCAGATTGCCTTCAGAACTGTCCGGTCATATCAGAACTTCTACGTTAACTATGGTCACTTTTTGTATTAACTGTATTCTAATGAATATTAACTTAATTTGGATGTTATTTTCTGACACTGATGATATTAGAAATATGCTGAACCATGAGGTTTATAATGTAGCTAAGAATATTTCACTGTGCTTAAACCAGCTTTAAATGCTATTAAGTAATGTGCAGATTTAGTTTGCTTTCAAGGATAATAATTTCACCGTGGAAATTACCTTTTAAGAGAAAGTATCTAAGGTATTAGTCAATATGTAAGGTAAAATGCATCTCCCTTCAGTGTGTTATTACTTAAAGGTATATAATTATATATTATTCACTCTTTCTAGGTATGCCCTTATATGTCAGCAATGTTTTTCCCACAATGGTATGGCTTTGAAGGAAGAGTTTGAATACATAGGTAAGAGCTAATCTGTATTAGACAATATTGCTAGGCTTTTGTTTCATAATTAATATGCATCATCATTCATTTTGGTTGCAGTTAAGTACTTAACTGACATTGTGAAGTACCAGTTCATATGTGAACATTTTTTGGTAACTTATTACTCAGTATCTAAAGGCTGACTTCAAGCCTTAGCGAAGTACTTTATTGCAACATTGAGGTCAAGGATTTTATGTGTATAAAACTATTCAGTAGAAATAAGCTTCCTCCAGTACATCCCTGAACACTGCTGGTGGCTATGAATGGTTCTCAGAAAGGTGTTATGTTGAGAACCTATCTGACATTAAAGTGTGCCTCTTTCAACAGAACTTAAAGTTTTGCTTTGTCAAGAAGATCTTGGAGAGGTATCGGAAAAAGAGTGGGAATGAGCCCTAGGGGGCTCTATGTGAATTTATGGCTGACAATAACTTGAGACAGACACAGCTCTTTATTGAACACAGATGTTTTATTTTGCCTGCCTTCTACCACAAGTGTAAGCTTGATACTTAAGAAACGAGGAAATCTTATCTAAGTCTTTTCTTTAATTATGTTTCGCTTAATTTTATAAGTATATATACAGCACTGAATGTTTCCTGTGAAACCAAAGATATGTAGTCTTATGTGTCATCATAATTCAAGTGAGTTCACAATTCAACTGTGCCAGAAATTGCCACTTCCACCCTCTTGGAGTGGGGAGAGGAGAAATAGGTGCTTAACTGCTAAGTGGTATATAATAGTTCTGCAGAACAGAACTGCTTTTTCTTAGTTAAGCACCACTGAAGCAGAATGAGACACCTCTAAAAGCAGAGTGAGACATACCTTGTGGAATTTCTAACATCTCCTTACTCAAACGGTGAGGAAAGTGACATCTTAAGGGGAGCAAAAAAAAAAAAAAATTGTCTGCCAACTCAATTCTTTTGTAGGAAAGAACAGAAGAACAATGGCAACATCTGGTGGTACTGAATTGCATTATTATGTTCATTGTGGTCAAATCTTTAACAGTGTTGGGCACTACTCAGTGCAGCAGAGTTGAAAGCAAATGGGTTTTTAAAAAGCAACTGTATGCTGAATTTAAAAAAGGACCTATATGGAACTGCTTGTATAAATTTGGTGGAGATACTTTCAGGTACTCATAGTCAATTAATTATCTCTTTTTTGTATTTTGGGCTGTCAGAATATAGCGTAGGAATAAAGGTGAAATGTGAAGTTAATTAGTGAGGCTACTTACTGGGTGTGCTTTGTGTAGCATTTAGGTGTGCCTACTGCTTTTTCCTGAATCCTGCAAGAAAAACTAGACCTCAAGCTCCACGACTTCCAGAGTTCAGTTTTGAAAGAAAGCGATCTACAGAATTGCAATCTGAAACTGAGCCTCTAGAACCCAGAGAGAAAAAGCCCCAGGAGACTGAACAGACAGAAGGTATGTACTAATCTCATCAAGTCTGGTCTTTTTAAAATGTCTAATGAAATCCCCCCTGTCATCTAGCTCTCTGTTCAGATGCATTTTTTTAAATAATAATAACAGCTGAAATAATCAAACACTGCTCAATCCGGCTTCCCGTTGAGGTGGTCAATGCCTGTCAGGGTTTGAGGCATTTTAAAAATGCCCTTAACATGCTCTAACTTTTGGTCAAACCTCACGTAGTTGATCTAGGTGATTGTTGTTGGTCCCTTCTAACTGAAGTACAGTTTATTCTGAATTCCTGGTAAGTGCAGTTTATATGTTTTCTCAGTTCTTGTCCCTGCTTCCAACTTAGGTTGTTAATGTCTTTTTTCCTGTACTTTAAAACTTCTTCATATTGGTTAATATCTCATGCAGGTGATGGCATAACAAATTTTTTCACTCTAATGTTACTGACAAACAGAAAATAGCAGTGTAAATTACAGAAATGGTTAAGAAGAGACTATGTCCCAAAGTAGTTAACTTTCACTGTGTTTGGCAGGTCATTTGATTGAGGTGTGTTGGAATTTCTGCCTTTGTTCCTTTTGCTCTTTTCCTCAGGGCAGGAAAATCTAGTAAAACTGCCTTGTTTAATTTCAGGTAGTTCAAAGACAAATTGTCAATTTTAATTTAACATAGTTCCTTTTGAGACATTTTATAGTCTGCAGATACAGTAGGCATCTGGTGTACAGCCAACAGGAAGATGCAGTGTTTTAAAAAACTCCAGAAATTACAGCTGTAAACCAGTGGATATCCACTTAGATGTGCTATTGAGTGCTTGATGGGACTTCATGTTAGTTTAAGCAGGGATCATGGCGGGAAGCTCTTGAATAGTGCGCAGCTAGAAACACACCCACTGTGGGAAACGGCCAGACCGCAATAGAAAGAATGTTTCTACCTGATTATTTTTAACGGGGAGCACAGAATGGCATTGACCTTCACTTACTGGCATGGGAAGGCTGCACAAGACCAGTAGGGAAGTCATATCTAACAGTGGCTGTCTCAGGGTGTGGCCTTGTCAGGGTGCATTGTAGAAAAACTTGGTTTCTTTTCCTGTACCACAGTGCACTCTTACCTCAAAGAAAGTATTGTTGCTGGCATGAAAGTAAGAATGAATGCAGATACATGAAACTAAGACATTGAAAATATCTTACTTGCCCTCAAATCAGAGAATCATCTTTTTAGTGAGTGGACGGTAGGTTTAAACACTTCTTGACTACTTTTGAACTTAAAAGATAAAGACATCATTTATTACTGGGATCTTTAAAAGTGGGCTTGTTTTCCTCTATGTGAGTCAAATGGAGAGGTCCTTAGAGGATACTCAGCTCTTGGAGTTGTGTGCCTTGGGGGCTTCTGAGTATTATAACTGCAGGTTCTTAGAGGTTTTGGGATGAGTGTTTGCTGATTAATCTGGTATTATCATTGAAAGAAATGGTTATCAAACTGTGCTTTTAGTGGGTCTGAGCTGCTGAGTCAGTCTATAGATGTTGTATAGTATTGTAAGATTTTCATTAGGCACTTCAGATATAGGAGTGAATATTGCAAAATAGCAACTATTTCAGGAGAAAAATAGGATGGCTTTATCACAGTAAATGTGATTCTACCGATTTACCTTTAACGATGTAATTGTGATGTGGTCTTTTACTAATGTACTACTTTATTTAAAAACCACAAAAGGAGCATCTGTGGGCTTCATTCCCCAGTTGTCTTTTCCTGATAGGAAGTGTGTGGTGAAATTTTTCAGAAGAGGCATAAGAAATAAGTAAATGGTGTACTGACTTTTGGTTTTCTAGGTTAAATAGCTGATCTCTTCTGGTTATTTAACCTCCAAGATGATATAAATTGTTTTGTTTTGATAATTGCTAAGCAACCAGAAATAGAGTATGTGTTGATTTTTTCCATAACTAATATCTAAGAAATATCTTGTTGATGTAGAAGAGGCCAGTACCTACCCGTGACTTGCCACAAAGGAATCTCTTCTGAATGATTTCCAGTAAATCACTCTTTCCGCCAGAACTGTAATATGAAGCATAACTGCTTACATGCAGTTGGGCTTTATTAGTAAACAAACATATTCCTTGATGGTAAGTTTAAGGTATGAATCTATCGTTAAGGTAGAGCTCTGGGGAAAGCTTTTGTTCACCACAGTGATACAGCTGCTGTTGTAGCAAGAAGGGAGAACATCTTCCCGTACAGATGCAGACAAACATTAACATCAGGAAACCAACTTCACCACACTGTTGACAACACAGAGAATTCCAACTCTTCTCTGTAACTCATTTAAGCCATAGCTTTATAGCTCAAAGAAACTGCAAGCTGTGATACAGAAGTGTTATAAATATTTTTTACCAGTCAGCTACTTTGACTAATGAGTAGAGCAAGAAGCTGAATCTTTTTTTCAGTTGTGTGCTCATGCAGTGACAGCATGTTACATGCAACTTCTGTGGATAAGAGATATGAAGAATGGTTATGGGAAGTGCTGTTGACACTGAACTTTGGCAGTTTTTTTTAATCCTCTGGAAATACAGGCTCATCAACTGTCAATCTGATGTAGTTTACTAGTACAAACACCATGCTTACTTTTTCAGGAGAGTAACTTGTGAAATTTTAATACCAGAATGAAGAAACATACTTCAGCTCTCTTCTTACTTTTTCCTGAAATGGCTCGTTCTTGGTAGTATTTTTTTTGTTGTTCGTCAAAGGCTAGTTGGTTCTCTCATGTACTTTTATTAAAAGTATTAATGTTTGGATTGTATTGAAAAGCCAACAGGAACTTCTTTTAGCCTCTTGATTAATTTTGCCTTGCCTGTATTTAGTACTGTTATACTACATTCTTGATTCGGGTTTATCATTTAGCACTGTTTTGAAGGTTGAAACAAAATTTGGCTGCTTCAGATTTTACCACAGTGGTCAGCACATCATGGACTGCTTCATGTATTATCTCCAGATTTGTATGGAATTTCTTGACCATCTTGCTCAAATATTTTTATGATGAATTAGTACTGTGTGCTATGCTCTTTCCCTAGTTCAGTCACTATGCCTAGAACTCAGTGATTTCTCAAGCAGACATAGGTCAGTTTACCTTGAATTCAATGGCTTGTAAACAAGTTCTTTTGATTTTAAAAATGTATTATGTTTCCAGTCAATCACAGTTCAGTTTTGCTGAACAACGTAGCCTTGCCTTTTTGGTAGGACGTGAAGGGTAGAGGGAATGCCATGCTATTATCAGACTTCTTTTTCAAGGGCTTCACAATAGCTTTCTGTGATAATCAAAGCCATTAACAAACTACTGTGAGGCACATGTTCCTTAAAGGTACTTCAACCACATGGCACTATGTGAAAGTCTGTCTTAACAGGGAGCTGTAGAAGTGAAGAAAACTTGTCTTAAAGGTCTTGAAAGCACAAGTAGCTATATTTTAGAGCAATTATCTTATACTAGTTTTTTTTGAATTCCCACATAAGAGGTATTTTCTAACTAATTTAATAGCGATGCAGTATTGTAATTTCACTGGTTACTCAGTGAAATACTCGGCAACAAGAGGAAGGGTAGCTGACTTACAGTGTGAAGTACATACCCTTTTTAAGTACTAAGGATTAACCAGGAGTGTTGGGATTAAAAAGAACTACTATAGCCAAGAGCAGGTTTTTTAAGGTTGCATTGTTACAGCTCTTGAATTTGCCTCAGGCCAGCATAGGGCTGCTTGCTGTGAAGATCATGTAGGTGTAGCCACATTCTTTGGTTAAATCATGGATTAAGTATTAATCATCAAGGACACTTAAGTTTTCTTCTGTTGTCTTTAAGTTTATAGTCAGCTTTCACTTGTTAGCTGCTCTCACAATAATTTAAATCATGCAATATTGAAATCAGCTTGACTTTAGGCAAGCTTTTCATTAATTGCTGTTTGTAAAGTAGAATGTTTTTAATGAAGGCTGATCGTATTTGTGTTTGGAGTTAGCATCCCTCACTCTGATTGGCTGACCCCTCATTTAAAGGACCTACTCTTGAGTTCCTTATAACTTTGTCAGACTTAATTATAAGACCAAAATTTTCCATGTAAGTTTGTTTTAACTGTATATTCTGGAGAGTACAGGAGTTCCAGTAAATTTAATCAAGAACAGACTGAGGGGAAAAGTCATATAATACCTGACAATTTTTGCTTAAAGAAGCAACATCTCCATACCTTTTAGGAGAATATAAAAATGAAAGCACCATCCTTCTGCTGTTCCTTTGAATATAGATAGTTAGAATATGCACTTCATCGAGTTTTTATTAGAAGCTTCTCCTTGCTTCTGCTAGGGCTATGATTGTCCCTTAACAAGGGACAAACTAGGGCTTAACTGAAAAGTGTTGTAGATGGCATCCTTCTGATAAGACTGAGCAAACAGTCTCTTTACCTCTGTTAGAACGAGTCACTTCTGCAGAGCACTAAGGATGATTCAGCTGAGGATTGCAGGACTGAAACTCTGTAAATAAAGTAATGGTTGGGCTATGCTACAAATGAGTTGAGAGGGCGAGGAGCTGCCTCTTCCCTGCATCCTATTCTGTCTTTGACTAGAGCCCGAACGGCAGAAGGAATGTAACTCAAGTGTGGAGGGATTGTAGCAGGAAAAGGCACAAACTTATTCATAGAATTTGAGGCCAAAGGAAAAAAATGTAGAGATGAGACAGAAAGAAAACTGACAGTTGGGAGATAAAGATTGAGTACAGGCAGAGATGGGATCAAGATGGAAATTGAAGAGCAGGAATGGAGAGTGGAATGGATTGGAAAGTAACTGGGAATATTAATTTGCTTGGGTAGAAATAGGGGGGTTGACCATCTGAGAGGTGGCTCTAGAGAAATTGTGGAACAAGTAGCCAGGGCAGGTGTTGAGCAGCCTGTGGTTGAGAAAGCAGAGAAGGAAGCTGAATTAGGAGGTAAATCAACTGCAGACTTGCTAAGGTGAAAGATCAAGTCTGAGAAAAAAATGGAGAAGCTGGGCTGCTCTGAGAGTCTGAAGTGGAGCCTGGAACTAAATGGAGCCTTGTGTGGGAAGAGGGGTCTTAAGTTCTTGGTGTCAGATGACAATTGTACTTGGTCTGCTGGACAAGGGTGTGCAGCAGCTCCTCTTGTCAGTCATGACCCGAGATGCCAGAGCAATGGTTATAAAACTTTCATCCCCGCTTGAATTCTATGAATTCTGAAGCAGTCTGATTACTTTCAGACAGCCAGCATGTTTTGATAAATATGAACAAGTGGCATTTGATTGACACTGTTTTTCTCAGGGGTTAGTTTTGGGACCAACACTGCTAAATACCATTGACGGGAACATGGACAGTGGGATTGAGTGCACCTTTGGCAGGTTTGCTGGTGACATGAAGATGTGTGGTGCAATTGAGGGAAGAAATGCCATCCAGAGGGACCTTGGCAGGCCAGAGAAGTGGGCCTGTGCAACCCTCATGAAGTTCAACAAGGCCAAGTGCAAGGTACTGCACCTGGATTGGGGTAATCCCAAGCACAAACACAGGCTGGAAGAATAGACTGAGAGCAGTCCTGAGTAGAATGACTTGGGAGTGTTAGTTGGCAAGAAGCTCAGCATTACCTGGCAATGTGTGCTTGCAGCCCAGAAAGCCAACTGTGACCTGGGCTGCATCAAAAGAAATACGAAGCAAATCAAAGGAGGTGATTCTGCCCCTCCACTCTTGTGAGATCCCACCTTTGTCCAGCTCTGGGAGCCTGACCTGGTTTCAGCTATGATAGAGTTAATTTTCTTCTTAGTAACTAGTGCAGTGCTGTGTTTTGAATTCTTATAGGGTTCATGTTGATAACACAGTAATGTTTTGGCTGTTGCTAAGTAGTGCTTATTTTAAGTCAAGGAATTTTTGGCATCTTGTGCTCTGCCAGTGGGGAGCTACACAAGAAGCTGGAGGGAGAGCATAGCCAGGAGAGGTTACTTGAACCAGTCAGAGGGATATTCTGTACCACGGAACGTCATGGACAGTACATAAAAGGGGGGGGGGATTTGAATGTGAGGGGCTGAGCAGTGCTGTGGGGGAGGGCTGGACATCAGTCGACAGGGTGGTGAGCAGTTGTATTGGGGCATCACTTGTTTAATTTCCTCCCCCCACTTCCCGCTTCCTTCCCCCTTAGTTACAGTTGTTGTAGTTGTTACTATTTTAATTTGTTTCAACTATTAGACTGTTCTATTTTTAAACCATGGCTTCTAACTTTTTTGTGACTCTCCTCCCCATCCCACCAGGGTGGCAGGAGGGTGGGTGGGGAGTGAGCAAGTGTCTGTGTGATACATGGTTGCAGGCTGGGTTTAACCACAACAGACCCCCAGCATAAGAAGGACATGCTTTGGGAAGACCTTGGAGCAGCCCTTCAGGACCTCAAGAAAGCTGAAGAGGGCAAGGAGGGAAAGCTGATAGAGCAAGGAGGGATGTCTGTGAACTGGAAGAGAGTAGCTTTAGATTAGGTATTAGGAAAAAATTCTTCACTGTGAGGGTGGTGAGACATTGTAATGGGCTGCCCAGAGAAGCTGTGGATGCTCCCTTCCTCTGAGTGTTTAAGCCCGGCTTGGATGCTCTAGGGGAAGGTGTCCCTGCTGACAGCAGAGCTGTTGGAATTAGATGATCTTAAGGCCGCAGTTGGTAAAACTGGCATTGCCAAGCACAAAGAAGCTGAATTACCATCATGTGTTGTTTCCAACGTCTCACATTAATGAACAAGCTTAGAGAAATTGTTGAGGGTGAAAAATACATAATATTTTCTTAGTAGGATCTAAACTATTTTCCATAGTATTTTCCTTATTTTTCTTAAATTTTATAGGTTTTACCTGTTACCTTCTTGTTAAAAAAGTCATAGTTTTTACCAATTGAGAATACTATGCAGTTACTAGTCAAAACCTGCATGTGATTGCAAAATGTTTCATTTGCTTTTCAAGAATATTAGCTGCCTCCTAATTTCTGGAAAGAGTTATTTCATCATTTTTCTTTTCACAGAATCTGAAGATGATGTGGCCCAGATCATTGAGACAAATGAGGCAGATGATAAAACACCAAGTTCTGAGCAGCTAAATGATAAACTAGCTGAAGAAACTGAAAAAGAAGAAGCGGAAAACATTTCAACAACTGAAGACTCTATTTCAGAGTCTATTTCAGCTGAACAAAATGAAGAATCTCTAATGAAAGCAGAATAAAGTACTTCAAGTGCCTTCTGTAGCTAGTTTTTAGCTTTGTTCATGCCTATTGTTACTCTTCAGGTGAGCTTTTTTTAAATGGTACAACTTAAAAATCTCGCTTGAGCTTAAACTGCCTCAACTGCCACAGTGTGTCAAAGCTATGTGTAAAAGTGGGTATTGTAAATTAAGCATGTGTCGTTAAGTTAATATATAGAATGTGTAGTTGGTTGAAGTCTAACAGTTGTAGCCATTGTTTAGTTTGCATATTTAAAAACTTTAGAGTATCAGATTTGCTAAGGGTGACTTATAATTTGACATCTCTTTAGCTGTCACATGCAAAGAGCAATTACTGACAGCAAGTGACCTAGTAAGTTTGGTCTAGTGAATTTAAGATACATTTTAATGCTGCCCTGTTAAAGCGAATGAGTATATGTTAAATACACAGATGTTTACAAGCTAAAGTGTCATCTGACATTTGACTTAAGCATATGGAAGTGTCATTGTGGTGGTGTTAATATTATTCATTGTCTAACTTCTTGACAGAATTCAGTTAAATGGCACTCGGATAAATGGCATCTCCTTGGGCATTTGCATTGCAGATGAACCAGAGGCACCTACATACAAAACTGTTTTGTGTTTACATAAAATATAGAAAGTCTCTGCACTTGATTGTACTTGAATACAAAGCACTATTTATACTTGTACAATAATTACAAGATATGAGTGAATTTTGTGCCTTTGTGTTTTTTGTTAAAGGAAAATAAAGACATCTAGCAGCACTACTTGCTCTGTGATTCCTAAAGCTGAAGAGAATTTGTTCTGCTGTATGCAGCTATGCTGAAGTTACTTTGTGCAAATTCAGAAGGAATATGACACCTTAAAAGGAACATGTCTGTATGTAGCTAAGGTGGCTTAGGAGTAGACTAGAAATAGATCTCTGAAGAATAGGGGAAGTGCATGTGCATTTGCCAAAAGGCTTTCTTAGCTGCGCCCAAAGCTTGTTGATACTATTTATTGTTACAATTACAATTAATATTTGCTGCTGGATTACTAAAACTGTACTCTTTTTTTATTATATAGCTTTTCAAGCTAAGGATACTTGTTATACATATCCTGTTAAATTTAACATCTGGGATCCTGGAATAGAATTTTTCTGGTGCCTGGAAGTGAGGTACCTAAATCAATCAGATTCTTTTTAGCAATAAACGGTGACCATGTGTAACTTGGTTGATTTAGCAGTACTTCTGAGGAGAGTTTGTGTGCAATGTTTTCTGTGTACCTCAGTACAGGGAGAACAGAAACTTCAAAACCATTTTTAATCTATTGTCTTGATCCCAAAGGGAACTGGTTTTTGCCCTGTAAAGACAACAGCCCCCCTAAATCTTAGTAGCTCAAAAGCCCTCTACAAGAAAAGCATGTTACTAAATGTGACCTTGGTATCCATGTCTTTTTACAAGACGTAATTATATATTACATGAACATCAATGATTAATTTTCTTGTTGAAATACATGCTTTATCTTCTGATTCCTTGGGGTTAATTTAGAAGCTCAACCTTGCATCAGTCAGAGTCATGTTTGGTCTGTATTTAGAAAAATTAGAAATTTTTTTTCTGTTTCACTATCTAAACTACAATGCATGTTTTAATTAGTAGCCTTAATAGAATGTAGGCATGTGATTAAAGATATACTTATAGGTGTTTGACTATATTTGCATAAACAATTAGTTACACACAAAATGTTTTATTTACTGTTGTAGTTGGGAATACAAAGAAAACAGTCCCTTTAACAAACATATCTTACAGCGTGGGAAAAGTACCAGGTACAAAGTGATAGGGGAATACTATTTTTAATATTTTCAGAGAATGTATTTTAGATTCTCGAACTTATTTAAAATGGAAATAATTTTGCCTGAAAGGTGACAAAGCTTACTTATTATTTTGTGAGATGTTAATCTCTACATTGCATTTTGTACCTTGCTGATTTATCTGCTTAAAGACTGGTTTCTTTGGAGAGAAAAAAAAAAAAAAAAAAAAAAAAAAAAAAAAAAAAACAAACAAAAAAAAACCACCAGACCACGTCAGTAATTCGGCACAATAAATTGTTGGATGTACTTACATTAGAATCGCTAAAACCAAGTAAAATTTGTCATCCTGATCCCTCGTACGGCATATGGAGGCATGAATAAGTGTCATTTGAGAACTTAAGGTTACTCTAGGCACAGATACTAGATCCTTTTAAAAATATGTATCTGAAGTGTCTGTTCTTATGTAGAGTCATATCAGGTCCTTTCCATGACAAGCAACGGCTGAGCTGTAATGCATGTAATATCTGTGGAATTGACTGAGAAAATGATCTGGTGTTATTGTACCTATTAAAAATGTTTCTATTAGCCTGGGACATGTATATTTTCACGTCCTACTTTTGCCAAAGAAACTGATGCTTCTTAGCTTGTTGGGAATAAGAACTTTTTTTGAAAAAGGAGACTCAGTATCTGGAATGGAGTGGGGTTTTGTTTCTCCCAATGTTCTTCAATTTGAAATTGTGACATTAGCAGCTTTCCACTGGAATGATTTATTACTTTTTGTTTAATATGTCACTGAAGGATCAAGTAGAGACAGTCAACCTGATATGAAAATGAATACTCTTTAGAATGTGAAAACCTAGCTTTGAGATCTAAAACTACCTAGAATTTTTGAGGAGAGGAATTGTGTTTTAAGCACATGGTAGGATTTTCCTGGAAGACTTTCATACTCAAAAAGTATCCAGGCAGTCATTTCCATTAACTGCTTCAGAAGGTTTGAAGGTTATGTTAAAGAATGTCCTGGTATTTTGGTAGAGAAAAATCCATTTTTAACTTCGTAATTTTTAAGGGGTTTCAGGCAGCTGTAGTAAATGAGAGTACAGGTTTAATTAATTTGTGAGTGAATTCAGGCTCATGGAGATACATGTGATGGTGATAGACTATGGGCTTTCCTCAATTTACAGTAAGCATTCCTGTATTATTCCTGCCAAGTATGTCTGCCTTAGCACTGACAGGAATATGAGATGAGGATTATGTTTCTGCAGCAGTTACTTCTTGGCTTCTGTGTACTGTAAGTGTGGCAGAAGTAAAAGACACCTGTCCAACAGGAATGGAATCAAAATCCAAAAATATCTGTAAATGAACAGCATTAGCCACTTAGTCACTTGGTCTTTTTAATGCCAAAAAAACCTTGTAAGTAAGTATGTAGACCAAAAAGGTACAGCAGTCGTCAGTCATAATTAATCCAGTTGCAAACTGACTCTTAAAATAGAGAAAATGGAAGAAAGTAGGGGGAAAATACCACAATTACTATGGTTCCATGTTTTGTTGTCTTCTGACTTCCTAGTATGTACTTGAATCTCAATTTTTTCAAAAGCGCTTAAAAGCCTGGTCATGTGAAAAACTTGAGATGTTATAGGAGCCCCCTTTCTTTCTGTGGCCTAAATGAAAAGCAAAATTGAGTGGGGTAGTAAAGTAATACATAGCAAGCTTGTTGGTGCCATGTTTTTATTGATTCTGAAATATTGTGAATAACTGCAGAGATCTCCTTTTAGTCAAACATAGCTTATAAATAAGGCAGTAACTATCTAGGTTATGTAAACTCTACCAAAAAAGGCAAGTGACTGTTCTAGTTCAAAATAAATTGAAATGAGTTGGTCAAATTTAAGTTTTACTAAGAAGTCTGCTGAGCAGGGAAGAAAGGCGATGTTATTTCAAATTTTAATACTTTTCCTAAAGGAGAAAACAATTGATTACCCTTGGACATTTTGGCAGAAAATAAATCATTTAGTGGAATCTTAGTATGATGGTGGTTTGTCTCAAGAAATCTGTTTAGCCCACATGCAGGAGAAAGAGACACTCATGAGGAATGGCAAACGAAGATAATGCGGAAGCTGACAATTTAGGAATGTTCTAGAAGTTATCAAAAGTGTGTAACTAGGGGTGTGTATGATTGCCTTGAAGTCAAGAACAAGAAGTTTGAACCCTGTGTGGTGCTTGAGTAGAAGCCAATGAAGGACTTAATGAAAGAATGAAACATTGGAAGAATGGAAGGGATAGTGGTTTTGTCTGTCAGAACAAGGTCTTAACCAAGAGTTAAAGAAGACAAGTTTGCAAAGATTTTTCGGAAAATATGGGAAGGTTTGGCTATTACTACATGGCAGTACCTACCCCAGGTTAATACCATATTCTTATGTCAGAAGTAATAAGGCTGCAATTGACAATGAATCATATTGGCAAAACTTGTTTGTGTTTTAGAGTTAATTCCAGACTAAAGAGATGTCAATAACTTGTAGAATAAAACTGTCTAGCTATAACTAGAGGTTTATAACCTTTTTAAATTTCAAAGGCTGGGAGAAACACTTGTGTGGTACATGGTTCTGAACTTAGCAATGTTTGTGCACTTGTAGGTCTCTGATGATGGATGAGTGAGTAGGGTAGAGGAAACTGTCCATGATTCAATAGTTACATCTGCTATTAAAAACTTCAGAAGTCTTAATCTTCATGAAGTCTGAACACATCCAGTACAAGAGTACTAAATGTAAAGAAAGCTTTAAATAAACTGCTGCTTCTTATTTATTCTGCTTCTGGAATAAGGTTTTGTTAGGTCTTCCACAGTGTAGAAGACTGTTCGTGGGGTAAGGAATATCCTGTCTGCAAATGTTTCACTAGAACAATAACCTTGAAGATTCATTTGACCAGTTCACTGAGTGTCCTCAAGCAAAATGTTTAGGCCCTCGTTTCCTGAACAGTGTCATGGTTAAAAGTTAGTGCATTTGATCTCAGTATTTAATGTTTCAGTTCCTTTCTGGAATTGGTAAGTGCAAACCTGTCCAGATTTCTATTGTAGTGAGCATCTGAAGGAGACTGTATGGAAAAGAAACCCCTAATACAGGCTAATTTAAAAAAAGGCTGCAAATACATCAAGTGCTTAAACACTAGGAGGAAAGTAAGTTTTTTTTCAACTGAAAGTTTGAAAGTTCCTAATAATTTGGACGAATAGCTTGCAGGAGGTATTAGGTTTAAAATGAAGTTGGAGAACAAGAGGGCAATAGAAGATTGCTCTGTGACCAATGCATTTTATATGATGTGTCTGCCTTTTTGTTTTTGATTAGGAATGTGTTTAATGAGAGTATCTAAGTGAGAGTTTTGTCTGTTGTCAGGAAGTTTTGATTCACTGAAAAGAAAGTGAGAGTGAAATGGTTAATTACTAATCTGTGGGAGTGCTCCTCTCTTCCATGGTGTGGTCTTTAGGTGGAGTTCATAGCTCTCAGGTTTGTGGAGGGTGATGAAGGTAAGGAATTCCGTCTGATGGGGCTGACTGGCATAGGGCTGTTGGCTCCGGGTCTTGGTGTTTAGTAACACACCAAAGTTTCTGGCAGAGGAAAAACTGTAAAATTCCATCAGAAATGTGGCATACTTGAGACATATCTGGTTGTCTGAAATTAGATATACTTCATGCTCCGGATTCTGTGTCTTTGGAGGAAAGGGATGGCCCCCTGAGTTGGTAGGAATTTCTTAGCACCAGGTCTTTACTACATGGGTATTTACACAACAAATAGAATATAATAGCATTTAACAATAGGAACTGCTACCCTCCAGCATTTAAAAAAAAAACAAAATAAAAAATTGAGTTGTCCCTTAAGATCACAAGTCTCAAGGAATTTGACTTCACCGTTGCTTTTGATTTGTGGACCTCTCTGGGGTCTTGTCGGGTCACATTCAATCTTTTCGCTGCAGGAATAATGATTCGATGAA